TATTCTACTCAAGATTGATGGACTGAACACATCGACTCAAGGTTGAGGGACTGATTACCTCATTCTCCTCCTGTTCTTCAAGTTTCTCCTATGTATGGACTGATGAAGCCACTGTGTGGCGAAACGTTTCCTCAATAAAGATACCCAAGAGTTGCACATGTGTCTAATTTATCAAGGGGAGTGGTAAACCCGTTGGAGTGATATAGCGCCTGAGGGAAGGGAAAAGCAGGTGCAACAATCTTCTGGATCAAGAAACCTTCACCGCGGGGGTAATACTCAGAAGAGTCCTGTTAAGTAAGAACTTGACTCGTATGACTAGTTAATTTATATGTTTACGAAGTTTAGCGTTAATGTATTTGTATGAATAATGTAACTAGAAGTCCAAATACACACACTATGCATCAACGGCTTGTCACCTCCCTGAGGAAAAATAGTATCACTGTCCAGTATGTATTTTATTAATTTGTCACTGGTAAACGCTAAACTCGTATTAGGGAATGGAATACGTAATCACGTTGAGCTGAGGGGTAGCTCCAATTCCTTGGATCAGGTGCGGTATGTATAGAAGTGGACAAGCGGGGCGGTTACCTACCTAAGACTCAGTGCTAGCGTGTCCTGCGTGATCCTCACCCAGCCACCGACTGTGGCCCTGTCTGCTTCCCCGGCGCCCACACTCCACTCCAACCCCCCTACCTCACTCCCACACCACCACTACTCCCACACCACCTTTACTCCCACACCACCATTACTCCCACACCACCACTACTCCCACACCCCCACTACTCCCACACCACCATTACTCCCACACCCCCACTACTCCCACACCACCATTACTCCCACACCCCCACTACTCCCACACCACCATTACTCCCACACCCCCACTACTTCCATACCACCAATACTCCCACACCACCACTACTCCCACACTACCACTACTCCCACACCACCACTACTCCCACACCACCACTAAACCCACACCACCACTTCACCCACACCACTCCCACCTTCACTGATACTTCCATACCTCATGCCCCCTCCCATACCTCAACTCCCACAAATCCATTTCGACTCATACCTCCACATCTCTACTCCCATACCAACACACTCACACCTCTTCTCCCATACCTCCATGCTCACACCTTCACTCCCATACCTCCACTCAAACAGCTCCAACCAATAAATAACAAAAAGGCACAATACCGTGACTGGAACGATACACAAATAACCCGCACATAAAAGAGAGAAGCTTACGACGACGTTTCGGTCCGACTTGGACCATTGACAAAGTCACACTAACTATATATAGCCGTCCTGCTCCACCTCTGTTAGTGTGACTTTGTCAATGGTCCAAGTCGGACCGAAACGTCGTCGTAAGCTTCTCTCTTTTATGTGCGGGTTATTTGTGCATAGCTCCAACCAATCCACACTTCCACTACCTGTGTCAAGGACTAGCACTAATCCAAGTGTGTAAACGAATGGCTGAGCCAACAGATGATGGTAGACACATTTCCATCAAAGAAACGCTTAATGTTACACCCACCAGGGCTTGATAAAATACCCAGGATACCCCTGCTAAACCAGAGTGCATGCAGTACAGGGAGTATGGAGGCTTGATCCTCCATCTGGTAATCATGACACAGATAAGCTACCAAGTTGTATGCATCTAGTTGTCAGGACACACTAGTGCTTTTCTCCTTCCTCGACTGTCAGACGTGGAAGCCAACTTGAAATTGAAAATTCACACTGGATTTCTTAGCATAAGTGGTGTATCAACTAGATGGAATAAAACATAATGAATATGGCAGTATGTTCACTCAGGATTAGTGGTGTTGTCCAGTACTGTCTTTATGATGGTATGTTCATTCAAAGTATGAGTGGCACTGCCCCCTACAGTATGGCAGACTGTTTACTCAGGATGAGTAGTACTGTCATATAATGTCTTTATGACAGTTTATGTTCACTCACATGATGAGTGGCACTGCCCAATACTGTTTCCATGGGGGTCTTTACTCACAGGATGACTGACACAGCCCATTACCCATAATTTTATTCAAAAACATGTGCTAAACTCACATGGGTCATGCAGAGAAACAATGACCTTTACCATTCTTACATGTTCATTACATAGGTGACATTGCCCAATACTCCTGTTATGGTGATGTATTCACCAACAGGATGAATGGCACTTCCCAGTACTTTTTTGTATGGTAGTATGTTCACTCACAGTATGAGTTACATTGTACAATACCATCTTCCTTGTAGAGTAATATGTTTACTCAAAGGGTGGGGGACACCACATAATATACTTGCTATTTTAATGGCAGTGCATTCACTCAAAGGATAATGGGGAACTGTCTTTATGGTAGTGTGTTCACTGTCAAGATGAGTGACACCAATAATTTTGACACCTCACATAATCCTGCAGTGTTTTTCAAGGCATTGTGTACACAGTCTCAAGGACCAGCATGAAATAAAAGACTGTGCATGAAAACAGCATGGAATACTCGACGCTCTCAGGGAAACAGCATGGAATATGTAACACCTAACAGGAAAACAGCAGATACACAAGAACCTGCACAACAGTAGTGATGATGAAGTACTTCAGACTCTAAGAGAATCTATGAAGTGCTTCCCATCAGTAAAAAAGTACTAATTTCAGACTTATTATACATAATTTATCAATTAATCTTTACATAAGTATGTATGTATGTAAACGAAAAATGACATGTAGGGTTCGCTACTATCCATGGTTTTGGGTATCCGCAGTAAGTCTTGGAACACATCAATCACCACTAATACCGTACCGGAGGGGTTCAAGGAGGCCAGAGTTACTCCTATCTTCAAGAAAAATAATAGGTCTGATGTAAGCAACTATAGACCTGTTAGTATACTCAGTATAATATCTAAAATTCTGGAGAGGGCGGTGTATTCTCAAGTAGTTAAGTACCTTAATGACAACAGCATTCTCCATAGCTATCAATCGGGCTTTAGAAGATCATACTCAACCGATACCTCCCTTATTAATCTGATGGATTACCTGAGAACTGAAATGTCAAAAGGGAACCTCATAGGTATGGTAACCTTAGACCTGCAAAAGGCCTTCGATACTGTCAACCACAATATATTATGTAATAAACTCCAAGCTATCGGTATAGGTTCTGTAGACTGGTTTAAGTCCTACCTTAGCAACAGGAGACAAATAGTCAAAATCAACAAAACGGAATCAGAACCCCTGCCGATAACATGTGGAGTTCCCCAAGGTAGTATTCTGGGTCCCTTACTATTCTTATGTTATGTCAATGATATGCCTATCAGTGTCAAGTGCAAACTCCTACTGTATGCAGATGACAGTGCTCTGTTAGTGACAGGTAAAGACCCACAAGATATTGCTAATGTTTTAACACTGGAACTGGAGTCCTGCAGCAAATGGTTAGTAGACAACAAACTATCATTACACCTAGGGAAAACTGAAGCCATTCTCTTTGGAACGAAACATAAACTGAGAAGGGTAAATAATTTTAATGTTCAGTGTAATGGGGAGTCCATCACTTTGGTTTCATCAGTTAAATATCTGGGAATCCCCTTTGACCCATGCATGTCAGGAGAATTGATAGGGAACAGTGTAGTAAAGAAAGCGAATGCCAGGCTGAAATTCCTGTATAGACAAGCACAGTGTCTACCTACTGAGGCTCGCAGGACCCTATGTCTAGCCCTTATACAATGCCATATGGATTACGCTTGCTCTTCTTGGTACTCTGCCTTGACAAAAAAACTGAAAGATAGACTGCAAATCACCCAGAACAAAATCGTAAGATTCATCCTGGGGCTGGGACCAAGAGAACATGTAGGCCAGGATGAATTACAGCAGTTGGATATGCTGAATGTTGAAGACAGAGTAAAACAACTGAAGCTAAATCATGTTTATAAAATTGCTCACGAACAGTGTCCAGAATATCTTGCTGTCAATTTTGTCAAGGTTGGGAACCAAAGCAATCATAGTACTAGGGGGAGAGAGCACAACTTTGTAGTACCCACAGTCAGTGGCCAGGCTTCAAACACCTTTTATTGTACAGCAATAAAGGAATGGAACAGACTACCCACAAATGTCAAGGCCAGTCATAGCTTGAACCAGTTCAAGAAGACTGCCAAAAAGTGTCTGATGAATGAAGCAACAGAAAGGGAGGGGAATGATTTTCTATTTTTTAGCTAAAATACGTGTAAATTTTACCTTATCCCTAGTAATGACCCTCGTATTGTAGATAGTCGTAATGACCCTCGGGTAGTAGATAGTCTTTTTAGTATGATAATAAGATGTTATCTTCATTATAGAATAATAAGAAAATATTATAACCTTTATATTATAATAATAAGGTAAAAGGACCCCAATGGAAATAAGTCACTCTGTCTGACTTTTTTGGGTTATCCTAGGTTCTCTACACATATGCTGCTATGTATGATAATTCTATGTAACTGTATTGTGTATACCTGAATAAATTTACTTACTTACTTACTTACTTACTTACTTACTTACACATCCCTCATGGATATGGGGGGATTGCTGTAGTGAGTGAGGGCAAACTGGGAATACCAAGCAAGCATTGTACAACTCAGGTTGCCATTCCTGATTTACAGTCAACCTCCAGTGGTAATTCTGTAATCAGAGTAATCAAACGCATTTTGTATGATATGACAGCCATCACAGCACTGCAATTAGTAGGAATGTTGGAATCAATCTAGACAATAATGTTTCTAATTCTTTTGGAAACAAATTTTGTCTAATGGGGAAATATTGCCACTATGTGAGATTTCAATTATTGAATCTTAAATATAAGATCAAGGAATGTACAGTAATTACTAAAGACAAATTCAAGACTCTGCCCATAGCCTTGTTTCTCTCAGCTGCACATGTTCCCAAGATTTCTGATGTTTTAAGTATTCAATGTAGCTGGAAAAAAATCAAAACTTTTCCATTCCAATTCATATCAGAAATAGAGACAAAGTGTGCTAAACTTCTTTATTAATACTTAAGAACATTTGTTCTGATATTACTAGAGAATACATTAAGTAAAGAAAATATAAAATTATCCTCCTTTGAGTGACGTCTTATTTTACAACTTTGTCATATCTCTTGACCTATACTTCATTCCACGGGATTTCATTTCTCGTACAACTGCTGCTGGCAAACGACCAGTGATGGAGATGGCATACATTCCCCTACAGCAACGATCTAGTGATAAAGTTAACATTAAATTATTAGTCCAGAGTTACAAAATATTTTAAAATATTTATACCATACTAAAAATAAGCTACAAGGATAAATGTATCTGAATCTACAGTATCTAAATAAACAGGTAAGTCCTGCTTTACAGAGTTTCACTAATACAGAGGTTTTCAATTATACCCATTCTTCATTTATTCAAACATCCTACAATAAATACATTCACCACTCACTACAAGCTAAGAACGAAAATATTTTAAGGTAAGTAATGTGTGTACTGTACATATATGCATTTTTTAGGCCTAGCTCTATCGCTCACTTAATATATGAAAGTGTAAAAATGTTATCAGCCTTTTTTATGCATTTGAAAGTCAAAAAAAGGTTATGGATTTACTTTACAGCAATTTTTGCCTTACAGCAGTACACCTACTGTATAAGCAGGACCCTCCTGTACTGTACTGTATACAGTAATTAATTTTACAAGTGTTGGTGACCTTGAAGATTTAAGTTTCTTTAACCCTTTGGGGGTCGACAGGCCCTCTCCGAGACTTGTTCTCAGGGTTGGCCAAATTTAAAAAAAAAAAAAAATTTCTTATGAAAAGATAGAGAATCTTTTCCCGATCATAATGACACAAAAAGTATGAAATTTGATGGAAAACTTACGGAATTATGCTCTCGCGAAGTTAGCGGTCTCAACGATGTTTTGCATCGATGATTTTGCCCACTTTGAGCCCTATTTTTGGCCAATTCCAATGTACTAGTCGACAAAAATCATAACTATTTTGCTAGAACTCCATTTTTTCTATCGAATGAGTACAAGAAACCACCCAATTATCAATTTCAACTATCTAATAAAGTGGTCAGAATTTATCAATTTTGCCAATTTCACACAAATTTCAAAAGATGCCAATTTCCGAACAGGGTCCAGAATAAACAAGAAAGACATTCCTGGCACTAAAATAACAAGTTCTCTGTTCGTTAGTCACATCCCCAGGCCCCTCTTATATTTCTTTAGCTTTCCACTTTGAATTTTTATTCTTACAAAAAATAGAAGATTTACTGTTATGCAGACTTATGCATTAGTGTAGAAATGGTATAAATAATATCAGCGCACTTGTAAAAGAATATTAGACTCACCAGGTGATGTGTATTGGACGCTTGGCATGATTTGTTTACTCTTGAACTTTGGTAAAAATCAAACATTTCTGCTACTTTGCGCTCAATTTCAAGGCACTTTTCATTATAAAACCAGTCAAAATCATCTCAATTTCTGTAATATGTCTTCCATTCTATAAAATGAGACCAAGAAAACTAGAATACAACAAAAATACCATACGAAAATACAGTGCAAAGTCGCTGTTTTATTCCAAAAACATGGTCAAAGTTTTTTTTTTCTCATTACGCACTGTGTGCTGCAGGATTTTTTTTATACTGCGCACACTGACCACATAGACCCATTCTTTCATATGTAGGCCTACCAGCTTTCTCTCACTAGATTTGAAGGCGCTAGAATTTAGACGTACTAGTACGTCAAAAACCCTGGGTCGTAAGCCATACTAGTACGGCCGAAACCCCCAAAGGGTTAAACCACAAAAAACAGTTTCAAAAATACTGTAGTAAATTTGAAAATATTTGTAAAAAATATATCTCATTTTGTTACAAAACTAACCAGTACTGGTATTACTAATGGCATGCCACATAGTACATACATTCCTTGGAACAAAGTAGGTAATGGAAATGGGAAATGGGAAAAAGAAACATCAGACCACATGAGGAATACAGATTGTACAACAGCAAAATTTTGTGAGTATCACACAAGGAAAGGGATCTAGAAGTTAACATTAATAAAGTTGCCAGATCATATACAGTAAATGAAATTCATAGGTTACAATAACTATAAAATATCTTTAAAAAATAATGATTTTTTTTACAGCTTATATTAGGGCAAAATTGGAAGATATAGATGCTGTGTGGTGTCCAAACAGCAGCTATATCAGAAAGAAAAAAAGTCAAAAGTTACAAAATGGATCCAAGAGCTAGAAAAATATATGATGAAAGTCTTAAAGAAAAAACTTGGAAGAAACTAAAGACACCTAAGCTAAATGATAGGAGGAAAAGAGGAAATACAGTGGACCCCCGGTTAACGAACTTTTTTCATTTCAGTAGTATGTTCAGGTGCCAGTACTGACCGAATTTTTTCCCATAAGGAATATTGTGAAGTAGATTAGTCCATTTCAGACCCCCAAACATACACGTACAAACGCACTTACATAAATACACTTACATAATTGGTCGCATTTGGAGGTGATCGTTAAGCGGGGGTCCACTGTATATGAAACGATATGACAGAATAAAGTTTTTTCTACTTATAAAAGGAATAACAAGAGGCCATAGTCAAAGGGATACTGTAAATTTTTTATGAATAATGGTGGAATAGAATAAATTGGCAAAGTAGGTACTAAGAGTTACAATTGCTGTAAATTTTAAAACAATTTATAATGAACATGTTAATTAAGATGGGACACAAGATTAGCTCTGCTTATGCAGCTGTAAATCAGTAAATATTAATAGATAATGTTCAGTTACACACTGGTACAATAATTAATGTGTACAGCTGTAATAGCATTCAGTCTGAATGTTAACCCTTTGAGGGTCCAGAGGCCAGATCTCAGAGTGACAGCCAGGGTCCAAGAATTTTCAAAGAAAATTTTTGTTATTTTTTCTTGTGAAATGATAGAGAATCTTTTTCTGAAGATAATAAAACAAATAGTATGGAATTTGATGAAAAATTGGCAGAATTACGCTCTCACAAGTTTTGCTGCGTCTATTATTTACACATCGGCAATTTTGCCGACTTTGACTCCCATTTCAGGCCAATTACATTATTCCAATTGACAAAATTCTTAGCTATTTTGCTAGTATTACTTCTATTTTATCGATTGAGGAAAAAAATCGCCCGGTCAACTTGTTTCAACTATCCAATAAAGTGATCAGAAATTGGTAATTTGGCCAATTTAACACAAAGTTCAAAATATTCCAATTTCAAAATAGGGTCCAGAATAAACAATGCAAGTATTCCTGGCACTAAACTAACATTTCCTCTTTTTATTAGTTACATTTTTAGGCTTTACAAATGAATTCCATTTTTATTTTTTATTTACATAATGAATTGTTATTCACACCAAAAAATAGAAGACTTACTGTTATGCAATACTGTAATAATTGTATAAATAATATCAGCACATTCGTGAACATATATTAGACCCACCAGCTGACGTGTATTAGATGCGTGACGTCATTTGTTTACACTTGAATATCGGCAAAAATTGAACACTGAGCTCAGTTTCAAGCCATTTTCAGTACTGAAACCAATCAAAACCATCTCTATTTCTGTAACATATCTTCCATTCTAGCAAATGAGACCAAGAAATAGTGAATTCAACTCGAAAAAATGCATGAAAAAACACTGCAAAAATGCTGTTATAGTCCAAAAATACAGTCGCAGTTTTTCTTTTCTCATTGTGCACTACGTGTTGCAGGATTTGTTTTATGTGGTGCACACTTACCACATAGATGTATTCTCTCATATCTAGGCCCAAATTTGCTGCTCACAGCTTATCTGAGTGAGCTGAGCTCATGGCGTAGAACTACAGCTTGGATCCAACCCTGACTACAAAGCTGTAGAATTATGGCATGGACCCTTAAAGGGCTAAATAAGTATAAATTGCATATTTTTTTGTTATGGGTCCACACTTATGGAACGCCCCATAAGGTAAGTTTGCTACAGTGAATAAGGGAATAAAATTATTATTATTACTGTATTACAGTGGACCCCTGCCTAACGTTGGCATCACATAACGTTAAATCCGCCTAGCGATACATTTTAATGCAAAATTTTGCCTCGCCTAGTGCTAAAAAACTCGCTCAACGCGATTCATCCGAGACACGTCCATGTGCAGCCTGAGCCAGCCTTATTTATTCCGCTGGTGGCATTGTTTACAAGTCAGCCTCCGCGGTAACATCCAAGCATACAATCAGAACATTTCGTATTATTACAGCGTTTTTAGTGATTTCACCTGCAAAATAAATGACCATGGGCCCCAGGAAAGCTTCTAGTGCCAACCCTACAGGAATAAGGGTGAGAATTACTATGGATATGAAGAAAGAGATCATTGCTAAGTATGAAAGTGGAGTGCATGTCTCCAAGCTGGCCAGGTTGTACACAAAACCCCAATCAACCATCGCTACTATTGTGGCCAAGAAAACGGCAATCAAGAAAGCTGTTCTTGCCAAAGGTGCAACTTTGTTTTCGAAACAGAGATCGCAAGTGATAGAAGATGTTGAGAGACTGTTATTAGTGTGGATAAATGAAAAACAGATAGCAGGAGATAGCATCTCTCAAGCGATCATAAGTGAAAAGGCTAGGAAGTTGCATGAGGATTTAATTAGACAAATACCTGCAACTAGTGATGATGTGAGTGAATTTAAGGCCAGCAAAGGTTGGTTTGAGAGATTTAAGAAGCGTAGTGGCATACATAGTGTGATAAGGCATGGTGAGGCTGCCAGTTCGGACCACAAAGCAGCTGAAAAATATGTGCATGAATTCAAGAAGTACATAGACAGTGAAGGACTGAAACCTGAACAAGTGTTTAATTGTGACAAAACAGGCCTGTTTTGGAAGAAAATGCCAAGCAGGACCTACATTACTGAGGAGGAAAAGGCACTCCCAGGACATAAGCCTATGAAAGACAGGCTTACTCTGTTAATGTGTGCCAATGCTAGTGGTGATTGCAAAGTGAAGCCTTTATTGGTGTATCACTCTGAAACTCTCAGAGCGTTCAGGCAAAAGAATGTCCTCAAGGCTAATTTGTGTGTGCTGTGGAGGGCAAGCAGTAAGGTTACACCATGCATTTGCCCCCACTGTGAAAAATTACCTAATTGAAAATAAATTAGACCTTAAGTGCCTCCTGGTGTTAGACAATGCCCCTGGTCATCCTACAGACTTGGCAGAGCGACTTTGTGGGGACATGAGCTTCATTAAGGTCAAGTTTTTGCCTCCTAATACCACTCCTCTCCTGCAGCCCATGGACCAGCAGGTTATTTCCAACTTCAAGAAACTAGACAAAAGCTCTGTTTGAAGGGTGCTTTGTAGTGACCTCAGAAACTCAATTGACTCTAAGAGAGTTTTGGAGAGATCACTTCAATATCCTCAATTGTGTAAACCTTATAGGTAAGGCTTGGGAGAGAGTGACTAAGAGGACCTTGAACTCTGCTTGGAAAAAACTGTGGCCAGAATGTGTAGACAAAAGGGATTTTGAAGGATTTGAGGCTAACCCTGAAGGGCATATGCCAGTTGAGGAATCAATTGTGGCATTGGGGAAGTCCTTGGGGCTGGAGGTTAGTGGGGAGGATGTGGAAGAGTTGGTAGAGGAGGACAATGAAGAACTAACCACTGATGAGCTGCTAGATCATCTTCAGCAGCAAGAGGCCAGACCTGAGGAAACTGTTTCAGAGGAGGGGGAGAGAGAAATTGAAGAAGTTGCCTACTTCAAAGATTAAGGAAATATGTGCAATGTGGCTTAAAGTGCAAACTTTTATGGATGAAAATCACCCTCAGACAGCTATTGCAAGCCGTGCTGGTGACTATTACACTGACAATGTTGTGAAACACTTTAGGAAAGTCAGAAAGGAATGAGAGGTACAGACCTCTATGGACAGATATGTTGTGCGACAGAAGTCCAGTGACTCTGAAGCTGGTCCTAGTGGCATTAAAAGAAGAAGGGAAGTAACCCCGGAAAAGGACTTGACACCTCAAGTCCTAATGGAAGAGGATTCCCCTTCTAAACACTAAGACCATCAACACTCTCCCCTCCTCCCATCCCATCAATCATCACCAGATCTTCAATAAAGGTAAGTGTCATGTAACTGTGCATGTCTTCCTCAGTTTGTGTGTATTAAAATTAATATTTCATGTGGTAAAAATTTTTTTTTTCATACTTTTGGGTGTCTTGCACGGATTAATTTGATTTACATTATTTCTTATGGGGAAAATTAATTCGCCTAACGATAATTTTGCCTAACATTGAGCTCTCAGGAACGGATTAATAGCGTTATGTGAGGGTCCACTGTATAATAAAAAATGGAAGTGCTAAACCTACAAGGGTCATACAGCTGAGGGAATAAAAAAATGTACTAAGAAATAGAGATGGCACACACATTTTACATTTTATACCTAGTACCAGAGTAGTTAGTAACAATTTTGAAAGGACATACAGTACGTTTATGTATAACAAAAAACTGGTGTAAAGATATTGCTGTACAGTATCTTGAAAATCATTAGCAATTCTGAAGCATGATTAGGTAAACTGTCTTCAAATCTAAAAAAAAAAAAAATATAAAATCTAATCAATATGTACTGTACTGTACTGTACAGTACTTAAATAATTATGATATATTTAATTAATACCATACTCACTTATGCGTTGCCATTTTGCAACCCAGCTATCCTCTGGGCTCATCAGGGCAATGAAGCTGAAAAACATCAACTATGTAAATATAAGAGCTTTAATTATATTATTTTTGTATTATTTACCACTAAGCATAATCATACAATCTGGGGGGACTGGGGAAAAAGCAGATTTCAGGTAAAGTGCATCAGAGGCTGCAGATTTGCAGAAAATGGAAACAGTAAAACATACCATTTTGGAAAAAGAGTAACTATCACTGAAAATTTCTTTCCAATCTGATAAACAATTACATATATCCATCATTATTACTTTTTTTATTAACACATTGGCTGTTTCCTGCTGAGGCAGGGTGACCCCAAAAAAAAAAAACTCTTTCTTCATCATTCACTTAATCACTGTCTTGCCAGAGTTGCAACTGCAACATATCAACACCCCTCCTTCAGAGAGCAAGCACTGTACATCCCACTTCTGGGACTCAAGTCCAGCTAACTGGTTTCCCTGAATCCCTTCATAAATGTTACCTTGCTTACACTCCAACAGCACATCAAGCCATAAAAACCATTTGTCTGCATTCGCTCCTATCTAACACGCACACACACACTTGCTAGAAGTCCAAGCAAGCACCTCACACACAAAACCTCCTTTACCCCCTCCCTCCAACATTTCCTAGGCCGACCCCTACCCAGTCTTCCTTCCACTCCAGATTTATATGCTTTCCAAGTCATTTTATTTCATTCCATCTTCTCTACATTTCCACTTCCAAGACCCAAGTCTGGCTAACTGGTTTCTGTTATATTTTTTTTTCAACATAACCAGCCATCTGCCACTGAGGCAGGGTGACCTGAAAAAGAAGAAAACCACAGAGTTTTTTTTCTTTTTCCATTTAGTAATTTATACAGAAGAAGGGATTACTAGCTCCTTGTACAGGCATTTTAGTCACATGGTTGATCAGACCCTGATCCACCATGAGGCCTGGTCTCATACTGGGCCATGGGGGCATTGACCCCCAAAACCCTCTCCAGGTAAACTCCAGGTAAACCTCTTAGGACACACATGGCTTATGGAAGAAGCATTATTTTCCACTTCCCCATGGAGATGAAGGCAACTAAGTAAGAACAAGAACTATTAAAAAAATAGAAGAAAATTTAGATGCATGCATGTGTGTGTGCGTGTGTGCGTGTGCGTGCGTGCGTGCGTATATATCTTTCTTCTTTCAACAAACCGGCTGTATCCCACCAAGGCAGGGTGGCCCAAAAGGAAAAACGAAAGCTTCTCCTTCTAAATTTAGTAATGTATACAGGAGAAGGGGTTACTACACCCTTGCTCCTGGCAAAATATTTTAGTCGCCTCTTACGATAAGCATGGATTACCGAGGAAGAATTCTGTTCCACTTCCCCCTCTGTGTATTACCCACACCTCACACTGCTCTCAAACATGGCATCACTGCCTCTACTCTCAGACTGATGTTTTGCCCCTATAATGCCAGCATCATGTACTTCCATCATTCCAGCACTAATAGTGCTAAAGTTGAAAAATTAAAGTAGCAACTTAATTTTTTTTTCTTCAGAAAGTAAGAGGGAAGCATGACCTTGAGCCAGGATGGAACAGTAGAATTCTATTCATCAGCTATAAAAGCCTTGGTTAAAATTCAGATGACTATTTTACCAAGTTATAAGGAATAATATTCTCAATGTACAATTTTACTACAGTTTAATTTTTCTCTTGAGATATTACAGAATTCCCTTGAATAGTAGATGTAGTATAGTACTGTAATACTACTGAGCACTTACCCATCAAAATTTGAAGACGTACAGTCATAAACTTGGTCACGATTTTGTTTCATGCGTAAAAATTCATCACAGTTGTCGCAGCCATCAGTCTCAAACATTTCCAAAGTCTGTTAAAAATCAGGTATTATTTTAAAGATAAGAATAACCATACAGTACAGTGGTACCTCGGGATATGAACTTCATTCGTTCCACAAGGCTGTTTGAGTGCCGATACCGAATGAATTTGTTCCTATAAGGAATAATGTAAATTAGATTAATTCGTTTAAGACCACCAAAAATACACTTACAAAAGCACTTACATTAATACATTTACATAATTGTTCAAGTTTTGAGCTGTTTGTATCCCGAGGTACCACTGTACTTCATTATCATCATCATGAATAATATAACGTAAACTTGGAAAAATAACATTCAAAATCTCTGATACAGCACAAGTAGTTTTTATCAGTTCCGTAGTAAAACTTTCCTTGTTAAATAACCTTTTGACATTTCATTATGTCAATTCTAGCAAAAAGTGTCAGCTACATTCTTTGAAATTTTACTTAATGATTAAAGAAAACATTATCATTAGCACACTATTAATTTTACATTTGACATTAATGAACATTAACAGACTCAAGATACTCCCTTGTGGAACTGAACATGATATTGGCTAAGGTTCTGATTTAGTATTACTTATTATGTTTTATAATTTGTTTCCTGCTGTTTAGGTAAGATTTGAGCCAGTCATAAGATCCTATGTCACAGACAATTGTCTCTATCTCAGGAGAACTGAGTCAATATTATTTGGACAGACTCAAACTAGTAAAAATATTTTTGTGGCTTTTATCGTCCAAAATAAAAATTTGCAAAATAATTCCATTTTTGTTTTGTTACTTATAGATTTCTGGTATTTTAAGAAAATATTTAAATTAGTGAATTCAGACCAGGACCTATACTCCAGTGACCCCCATAAAATTAAATCAAATCATACCTACAAAACTGACAACAAACTATGCCCAGACTGCCTCCAATTGATGTAATGTTACGTCAGGGGTTAATAATTCAATTAATGGTAAGTAAGTTTATTCAGGTATACACAAATACAGTTACATAGATTATCATACATAGCAGCATATGTGTAGAGAACCTAGGATAACCCAAAAAAGTCAGACAGTGACTTATTTCCACTGGGGTCCATTGGGTATCCTGTGGCTAGATTGCTAGCACACTCAGCTCACACACTGAGGACCATGGTTCGATTCCCAGTACGGGTGGAAATATTGGATGTGTTTCCTTAAGACAACTGCTGTCCCTGTTCACTTAGCAGTAAAATAGGTGCCTGGGTGTTAGTCGGCTGGTGTGGATCACATCCTGGGACAAAATTGACCTAATTCGCCTTAAATGCTTTTCATAAAAGTGGCTTTCTATATAGAAGTTCGTCATTGTCAGCTAGGCCTGTATACCTTGTACATGTTCTTGTAGAAATAAAGATTATTATTAAGTCTTCCAACAAACAAAACTGGTGAAGACTAAAAACTTTCAATCACATCCTATACAAGCCTGCCAACTACTGTTCCTTTAGACAAACATCAAAGCAAAATTAGCTATCACATGTCTCAGTTGGCAACACTCTCCTCACACACTAAGTGTCCAGGGTTCGATCCCCAGCATGGGTGAGAACATTAGGTATGTTTCCTTATACCTGCTGTCCCTGTTCACCATAGCAGTAAGTAGGTACCTGAGTGTTAGCTGACTGGTGAGGGTCGTATTCAGGAGGACAAGACTTAAAGGATCACAATGGAAATAAGACAGTCATCTATGACGCACTGACTATCTTGGGTTATCCTGGAAGGCTAACTCTCTCCCGGGTTAAAAATCCGAGCAAATCTTATTTTGTCTTAATCCTACCTTAACGAGAGAGCAAACAAGACAGGAACGAAGATTTCGCAAGTCCTTGGGAATATTCTCCATCGTGATAAAGTCTTCTTGCTTTGTTGGGTTTATCAGGGCCACTGAGAGTTAAAGCCGTATTGAACCCGGCTTCCCGATGTCACGGGAAGATTTGTTGTCCAAAACTGGGCGATGAAAGAGAAGGAACAAAAGTTCCTTTGTAAATATAAATAAAAATTTGAAGTTTCCAATTAGATCCGGTGGACCCCTTGTCAAGCACCAGCAGAGCTAGACGTCCACACCCTCACCTGAGTTTAGTAACCGTCTTCCCACCAAAGACCATTAGAGAATTATCTGCACAGCGGGAAAATGGAGCTGGCTAAAAGTAAGCCGATGACCAGATGCCTCTCCTTTAAAGTGCCCGGCGGGCAAAATAGATGAGGACAAGCGTCCCAGAGAGAACGGGGGAAACTTGTCACTGATACTCAAGCGAGACAGACGTTCAATGGAAATAAGTCACTCTGTCTGACTTTTTTGGGTTATCCTAGGTTCTCTACGCATATGCTGCTATGTATGATAATTCTATGTAACTGTATTTGTGTATACCTGAATAAACTTACTTACACACTCGACTAATGCTGGCGCACAGGTCTCCTGCTCAGAGGTGGAAAACACTACACATTAATGTTTCTTGTCGTTTTTTTTTTTTTGAGCCACCAAAGCGTTTTTGTCTTTGAGTCCTGCCTCCCGGGAGACAGAGAAATATATTGTCCAGATATGGGCGGATTAGAAAGAATACAAGGTTTCCTCCGGAAAGAGAAACGGAAACATATAATTCTCAAGTATAACAGGTGGACCCCATGTGGGGGTGTGTGCGTCTCACTCTGCTCGGCCTTGGCAAGGGAAGTTTATCTGATCTAATTGGAAACTTCTATATATGTTGCCCAACTTTGGGCAACAAGTCTTTCCCGTACATCGGGAAGTCAGGCTCGATACGGCTTCAGCTGCCGGTGGCCCTAATAAGCCCAACAAACAAACAAACAAGCAGTATGTGCCGCCTGAGCTGCTAATTTATTGAGGAATGGTATAGTGATACCGACAAGATGTGGAAAAAGACATTTATGTACAGTTTAAGACATTTATTAAAGGAAACTTTTTGCCACGAGTGGCTTCAGTCCTATTACTAAAGAAGCCACTCGTGGCGAAGCGTTTCCCTTAATGTCCTGAACTGTACATAAGTACCTTTTTCTGCTAATTTAGTGTGTACACCATGCTCATCCTTTGAGCGGTAACATACAAAAAAATCAAGATTTCGCACATTAAGGTGGAATCTTGTTTTCTTTTTGACCTGATTAGCAGGTATAGGTCAGCAATAGAGATAATTAGGAAGGGTGGGAAACCTGTCATATGTGGTATTTTGCCAAGGAGAGTAGTTGGAAATGAATGGTTGTCCAGGGCAATTGGTGTAAATTGTTGGCTGGACAAATACTGTAAGGAAAATGCAGTAACATTCATTGACAACTGGGACCTCTTCCTTGGCAGAAATGACATGTATGCCAGGGATGGGGTTCACTTATCTAGGTTTGGGGTGGGAGCACTGGCCAATGCAGTTGAGGGAGCAGTTAGGTCTTTAAACTAGAAATAGATAGTGGTATGGGTTTTCGTGGAAAATCAATGAATTCTGAGTGTAGCGATAGTGTGAGTTTTAAGGAAACCAGTTATAGGCAGAATGAGGAAGAGTTATTGATGAACATAGGAAAGCCAATGGCATTAGGTGATAAGGAGAGTAACAGGCATAGTGGAGGAACAGAAATCAGCAGGAAGAAAAAAGAGAAGGGAGGGTCCTTAAATATATATTACACAAATAGTCATAGTGCTAGGAATAAGATGGATGAGTTGAGACTAGTTGCTAGTGCAGGTAACATTGATGTACTTGCCTTAACTGAGACGTGGTTCAATACGAAAAATCGGGATATGCCTGCTGAATGTCACATACAGGGTTTTAAATTGTTCCAAGTAGACAGAATTATTGGGAAGGGGGGTGGGGTGGCACTGTATGTTCGAGATCGCTTGAACTGTTGCATAAAAACAGGTATAAAGTCTGAAACCCATACTGAGTCTGTTTGGATAGAATTTTCAGAGGGACATGAAAAATTTATTTTAGGTGTAATATACCGTCCCCCAAACTTAGATAGGGACCAAGGGAGACTACTATGGGAGGAAATTGTTAAGGCCACAAGGCACGAAAACGTAGTAATTCTAGGAGACTTTAACTTTAGTCATATTGATTGGAATTTCTTGACTGGGAATTTAGAATCAAATGACTTCTTAGAAGTAGTTCAGGATTGTTTTTTGAAGCAGTTTGTGACAGAGCCTACAAGGGGAAATAACCTGCTTGACTTAGTTCTGGCAAGCAATGAATCCCTTGTTAACAATTTAGAAATTTCAGAGGAACTTGGTGCTAGCGACCACAAATCAATTACATTTAGCATTGAATGGAAGTATGATAGTAGGGATAACTCAGTAACAGTTCCAGATTTTCGCTTAGCAGATTACGATGGGCTTAGAGAACACTTATCATCTGTTGACTGGGGTAACGAAGAGAGCTATCAATATGACAGTTTTCTGAGCACCATACATGCTGCTCAAAGAACGTTTATCCCGTATAAAGAAATTAGATCAAATAGAAATGACCCAAAATGGATTAATAATAGGCTGAAATATCTACTAGGGCATAAGAAAGGAATTTATAGGCATATAAAAAGAGGTGAGGGTCATCTTATGAATCAGTATATTGACATAAAGAGGGACGTTAAAAAGGGGATAAGAAAAGCTAAAAGGGACTATGAAATTAAAGTTGCTAGGGATTCGAAAACTAACCCAAAAAGTTTTTTCCAGGTGTATAGAACGAAAGTTAGAGATAAGATAGGTCCCCTTAAAAATAACTATGGACATCTTACTGACAAAGAGAATGAAATGTGCTCAATTTTAAATAATTATTTTCTCTCGGTTTTTACACAGGACACTAACAATATCCCAGTAATTAATTTTTATAGTGGGCCTGAAGAAGATAAATTATGTAACATCACAGTCACTAGTGAAATGGTAATGAAACAAATAGATCGACTGAAGCAAAATAAGTCGCCGGGACCTGATGAGCTTTTTTCAAGGGTTCTTAAAGAATGCAAAATGGAACTCTGTGAACCATTAACTAATATTTTTAATTTATCTCTTCAAAAAGGTATAGTGTCTGATATGTGGAAGATGGCTAATGTAATTCCTATTTTCAAATCAGGGGATAAGTCATTACCATCAAATTACTGCCCAATAAGCCTGACCTCAATTGTAGGCAAATTGCTAGAGTCAATTATAGCTGAGATTATAAGAAACCATCTGGATAAGCATAATCTGATTAATGATACTCAGCATGGATTCACGAGAGGCCGTTCTTGTCTAACTAATTTATTAACTTTCTTCAGTAAAGCTTTTGAGGCTGTTGATCACGATAAAGAATTTGATGCTATTTACTTAGATTTTAATAAGGCTTTTGATAGAGTTCCGCACCAGAGACTGTTAAAAAAAGTGGCAGCTCATGGCATTCAGGGAAAAGTGCTCTCATGGATCAAGTCATGGCTCACAGACAGGAAGCAAAGAGTGTCCATAAATGGGGTTAAATCCGAGTGGGATCTGTAACAAGTGGCGTACCACAGGGATCAGTCATAGGCTCTTTGTTGTTTATAATATATATCAATGACCTTGATGAGGGTATTACTAGTGATATGAGCAAATTCGCCGATGACACAAAGATAGGTAGGATAATTGATTCAAACGTAGATGTTAGGGAACTTCAGGAGGATTTAGACAAACTCTATTCTTGGTCAGAAAAGTGGCAGATGCGGTTCAATATAGATAAATGCAAGGTTCTGAAGCTCGGGAGTGTCCATAACCCTAGCACTTATAAGTTAAATAATGTAGAACTTATCCATACAGAGTGCGAAAAGGACTTGGGGGTTATGGTGAGCAGCAACCTTAAACCAAGACAGCAGTGCCTAAGCATACGTAATAAGGCAAATAGATTATTGGGATTTATATCAAGAAGTGTAAGCAACAGAAGTCCAGAGGTTATACTGCAGCTTTATACATCATTAGTAAGGTCTCACCTAGATTATGCAGCTCAGTTCTGGTCTCCATATTACAGAATGGACATAAATTCGTTAGAAAACATTCAGCGTAGAATGACTAAATTAATACATAGCATCAGAAATCTTCCTTATGAAGAAAGACTGAAGATTCTTAAATTACATTCACTTGTTAGACGAAGAATGAGGGGAGACATGATCGAAGTGTATAAGTGGAAGATGGGTATTAATAAAGGGGATTCAATTCAATTCAATTCAAAGTTTATTCTCTATAAAGATTACAATGTTGAATTTACAGAATTTGGTTGTTGTGTGGTTTACATGTAGTTAAATAATGATTACAGAGTGTACCACTAGAACGCCTAGCATGGCTAGGCATTTCGGGCAGACTTAATTTAATTCATTATTTTAAAATATTACAAATTATGAGGTAAGTTGGTATTATGGCTAAGTGACTAAATACTAGTTTGTGAGTTTAGCAATGTGAATGCTTTTGTTTTGGCACAGTACATAGTTTCAGTATTGGAGTATCATAGGATTCATTATTTTAAGATTGAGATTAATATTTCTGTTTATGGTCAAATGGGTGAGTGTAAGTGTGAACCACCAGGTGGTATTCGTGTAGTTAGTTGATGGGGTTTATCAGGGAGATAAGATGTTTTCTAATGGTAGTTTTGAAGGTGATGAATGTGTCTGCAGTTCTAGAGTTCTCAGGTAGGGTGTTCCAGATTTTAGGGCCTTTGACATACATTGAATTTTTGTAAAGGTTTAGTCGGACATGGGGAATGTCGTAGAGATGTTTGTGTCTGGTGTTATGCCTGTGGGTTCTGTCACAACTATCAAGAAAGTGTTTTAGGTCAAGGTTGATATTGGAGTTTAAGGTCCTGTAGATGTAGATTGCACAGTAGTAAGTGTGGATGTACTGAACAGGGAGTAAGTTTAGATCTATGAAGAGTGGGGGGGTGTGTTGCCAGGGATGGGATTTAGTGATTATTCTTACTGCAGCTTTTTGTTGGGTTATTATTGGCTTTAGGTGTGTTGCTGCAGTTGATCCCCAAGCACAAATAGCATAGGTGAGGTATGGATAAATAAGTGAGTGGTATAGTGTGAGAAGGGCATTTTGCGGCATGTAGTATCGTATCTTGGAGAGGATCCCAACTGTTTTGGATACTTTTTTGGTTATGTGTTGGATATGGGTGCTGAAATTCAGGTTGTTGTCAAGGTATAGGCCTAGGAATTTGCCCTCATTATGTCTGGTAATTAGAGTGTTGTCGATCTTAATGTTAATTTGTGCATCTCCTGCTCTGCTACCAAACATAATATAGTAGGTTTTGTCAGTGTTAAGTGTAAGTTTATTAATAAGGTCTTGAGGATGTCTCTCCAAGAGAGAACCCGAAGTAATGGATTTAAATTAGACAAGTTTAGATTTAGAAAGGACATAGGAAAGTATTGGTTTGGAAATAGGGTAGTTGATAAGTGGAACAGTCTACCTAGTTGGGTTATTGAGGCTAGGACTTTGGGTAGTTTCAAATTTAGGTTGGATAAATTTATGAGTGAGAGGGGTTGGATTTGAGTGGGACTTGCAAATGAGTGGATAGAGTTATCAGAGCTTATTTCTTGGGGAGCATTGAAAATTTGGTTGGGCAAATGTTTGTAAATGATTGTAAAGGACCTGCCTAGTATGGGCCAACAGGCCTGCTGCAGTATTCCTCCTTTCTTATGTTCTTATGTGTGTTACTGCTCTTGTCTGATAAGGTTTTACCAGACCCCCAGTTATTAATATATTAGTTAGGAAGGATCCACCTCTATTACATATTGTGGGGACCCATAGCCTTGTAAAAATAAATTACAAGGCTTCGAGGAAAAATATTTTGATTTTTTTCCTTAAGTCATTTGAATATTCAGCTTTCCCTACCACCCCATCTTTTGTTATTTCTCAGTAATTTTATAATTACTTCAATTTCTTCATATTCCTAATGAACACAATATAATAACATAAGAAGTGAGGAACACTGCAGCAGGCCTGTTGGCCCATACTAGGCAGGTCCTTCACAATCCATTCCACTAACAATATTTGCCCAACCCAATTTTCAACAGTACCCAGACAATAAGCTTTGATAATTCTATTTACTCATATGTAAGTCTCACTCAAATCCAACCCCTCTCACTCATGTATTTATCCAACCTAAATTTGAAATTACACAAGGATTTAGCTTCAATAACCCTATTAGGCACACTGTTCCACTCATCAACTACCCTGTTTCCAAACCAATACTTTCCTATAACCTTTCTAAACCTAAATTTGTCTAATTTGAATCCATTTCTGCAGGTTCTCTCTTGGAGAGAGATCCTCAAGTTACAGCCGCAAAAACATTTAAAGTATCTCATTATCACTAAAACCTCTGGTTTAGTGCTGAAGTCCTAAGGGACAGAGTTTTTAAGTTATCACTGAGATACCTTTTATAATAAAAGTTAAAATGGTTTGCTACTTTAGGAGCATGATGGCATGCTGTACTTCATTTTTTATATTTGATATATGTATACTATGAGCAATTTTTGGCACATATTTGGTACTGTAGTTGCAAGTAAGGGCCTTTGGATAATGCCAGTTTTTTTTTTTACTTATGTTCTTCACTTTTATTAAATAGTGTTCAGTTTTTGCACATTTTACACCTCTCTGTACCGTTTCTAATCCTGACAAAATTCATTGAGTAATATATATGTAAAGTAAAAGGACACAAGTGCAACTAATGTGACATTTTATTGTGGCAACGTTTCGCTCTCGGCTTGACAAAGCTCCTGGAGAGTGAAACGTTGCCACAATAAAATGTCACATTAGTTGCACTTGTGTCCTTTTACTTTACATATTGTCGGTAATTCTACCAACATTATTACAACGAGTAATATATAATTTATTTTTATTTTACCCATGAATAGCAGTTGTTTGCTATATCGGTTTGAGTCTTAACATCTTGCTAGTCATCCAGAGCTCAGGTTTTATCCTTGTATCCTTCATTGGGGCAATATCATCAAGAATTTTCAAGGCAGTTTTTTTAATAGTTAAATAAATATCTTGTTGATTTCATTATTTTGTTATTAAATATAAGAAATATATAACACAATAATTTTTGTATAAATATTTAGCATTACCCATCAGAGTAATACATATACTGTATTATTATTTCATACAGTATATACTGTATGCAAACTTTTCTTTCAGACGTATTGTACTTTGTACTGCTGTCAACATGTGAGAAAAACATAAGAATTGATGTGTTTTTTTGTTTGGTAGTTCAGCCAAAAAATGTCTTTGAAATCAAGATTTTTGAAACCAGGTAGGTTTCAAAATAAATTATGTTATGTACCATTTCTATTTTACTTTGGATTGTGATTTAAAAAGTATTGTTGCTGCTAATATTATGAACAAGGTTCTTGACATCGAATTTTGGATAGAAAGATAGTAATATTTTAATATTAATAAAGCAGATGGTATCAATACATAAATCACATAAGGATGGGAATATAAATATTGTATTTATACATGAAAGTAGTGAATATTAGTATCTTAAACTACAAATTGGTTATAGTAACCCAGGTTTTTATGGCAGTTTTAAAATATTATAGCCCTTTCTGCCTATTGCATATTGTTCTGACAGCTTATGAGTCCTTCCCAGAGTGACCTACAACTTTATTTTTAATTAAACAGCACCAGTAAAAACCACAAATGTATTAAGTCTGTATTTCTACAATAAAGAGTTATATACATGATGACACACAGGTGCTCTACATCTCTGCAGTCATACTATGTCTTTCCTATTGTTGCTACTCTTTATATAATATAGTTCTATCAAGATCATTATCTAATTTACATAACAGACTTTTTCTTCTCAGTTTCTTACAAATACTCTGTATAGTTTTCCCCTATACAAAGGCACTACAGTACTCTCTACATAAAGCAATAAAAATGAATGTAAATCCTTAAGATAAGATAAGATTTTGTTCGGATTTTTAACCTTGGAGGGTTAGCCACCCAGGATAACCCAAGAAAGTCAGTGCATCATCGAGGACTGTCTAACTTATTTCCATTGGGGTCCTTAATCTTGTCCCCCAGGATGCGACCCACACCAGTCGACTAACACCCAGGTACCTATTTGCTGCTAGGTGAACAGGACAACAGGTGTAAGGAAACGTGTCGAAATGTTCCCACCCGCCGGGAATCGAACCCGGGCCCTCCGTGTGTGAAGCGGGAGCTTTAGCCACCAGGCCACCGGGCCATGTATAAGATGACTTAGATTTACTGATCAAGTAGAGCGACAAATGGTTGTTAGAATTTAATGTTGACAAATGCCATGTATAAGAAATAGGAAAAAGGCAAAAATCAGGCCACATGAAGAATACAGATTATGTGACAGTTTGTGAGTATCATGCAAGGAAAGAGATCTAAGAGTTGTCATTAATAAAAAAAATTCCCCAGGATATCACATAAATTAAATTGTGGAAACTTATGTGCTACACTGGGTCACTATTAAATAGCCAAATATTTATCATTAGGTTTAAAAAAAACTTGATAGAAACTAAACAAACTCAGATTCATGATTAGTGCATCAAAGGTAGCTTAAAACAACCAGTTGGGTTTCTGAACTAGATTAAAAGTTAAATTTTGTTGGCTATTGATATTTTCACCCTATGTCTAATACCTCTACCTCTTTAGAAAGTATTGCACCACTTGTACGCTTAACATACAAGGCCAGTTTTTTTTTCCTTACTACTAATATACAATGCCAGTTTTTCTGCGTAGTTTTTCCTCACATATCTTGTATATGGCTGTTTTTTACGATAATGCCTTACTCATTCTTTCATTTGCTGTGATTCTGTATTCCATTGGCACTCTTTTTAATGCCTCTTCATATACTCTCCTTTCTTTACATAATTTTTACACTATACAATAAACAGTATAGTATACAGTTTATAAGAAATTGTATGGCATCTGATCAAATCATCTTCACAGATGCAGTGCCACTTAAACTTTTTCATGCTTTTCTTCTTAAATATTTTTGTTTAGTCTCTTGTTTATAACATAAGTATTTGCATCTGTTCAGAGGGTATTTTTTCAGGTGATGGTGTTTATACAGAGGACCGCAGTGATGTTGACCAAACAAGTGGAACAACGTTTATATATAATCCACATCGCTCTTTGTCAATTGAAAAACAGCGCCAACGATTGCCAGTATTCACAGCACGTAACTCCATATTGTACTTGGTGGAGAAGTACCAAACTACAATAGTAGTTGGAGAAACAGGCTCAGGAAAGAGCACACAAATTCCACAGGTAAATATTTATTGTTGAGTATTAATTTACTTTCTTTCCTGTGTTTATTTTATTTAGCGTATTTTGGGTTATGCCTTTCTGAAATAAATGATCTTATGTTGTGGCCCCCTACCAAACTAGCGGTTAAATAGTTAACCTGCTGGCTGGCAGTACCACTGGGTACGTCATCAAACCCAATGTGGGGACTGCTGAGCCGGCCTTAGAACATTAAGTACCTGAGTGCCTCACGGTGCGCATCTAAGCAGTAGGTACCTGACCACCTAATCGTACACATCTACTGGCTTTAGCTTGTAAGCATTAAGTACCTGAGTGCCTCACGGTGCGCATCTAAGCAGTAGGTACCTGGACACCTAATGGTACACATCTACTGGCTTTAGAAACATTAAGTACCTGATCTCCTCAGGGTACGCATCTAAGCAGTAGGTACCTGGACACCTAATGGTACACATCTACTGGCTTTAGAAACATTAAGTACCTGAACTCCTCGAGGTACGCATCTAAGCAGTAGGTACCTGAACACCTAAGGGTACACATCTACTGGCTTCAGCAACATTAAGTACCTGAACTCCTCAGGGTACGCATCTAAGCAGTAGGTACCTGACCACCTAATCGTACACATCTACTGGCTTTAGAAACATTAAGTACCTGAGCACCTCACGGTATGCATCTACGCAGTAGGTACCTGAACACCTAATCGTACCCATCTACTGGCGTTAGAAGAACCGCTCACCGCAGCTCACTGAGTCTGTTGGCCTCAGTTACTTGACGGCCGCATTCAGTGAGCTTGCAGCATGGTGTTCGGCTAGCGGTCTGTCAACCGGCTTTGGAGAGTATTTACTGGACTACCGGTGATGTCTGCGGACTCACCGCCTACGCCTGTCAACTGTGGGCCGGAGTCATCGGATGCTGTTTGGTGGGACATTACATGAAGATAAGGTTGGAGTGTTACACTTAACTGGGCTAGGACCGTAGTGTGACACTTAGGGAAGTATGATGGAGTGGAACACTGAGATATGCTACAGGACCATAGTGGAACACTGAGAAGAAAAGGGTGTCGTGTGACACTGAAGATGGCCTGGTTGTAGTGTACACTGAATAGGGTCATGTGACTGGCCTCGACAAAGACGCTATGCGGGTAGTGTGACGCAGAGACAAGGGTGTCAAGTGTGACACGGTTGCAAAAGTGTGTGTATTACACGGAGAAAAGGGTGTCAAGTGACACAGTGGAGAAAGAGCGTCACAACTCGGATAAGTGTCGTGAGAAACGCAGTTGATTGTAATTTATTATTTTAAATGTTACTTAATTTATTTTTTAGCATAGAGATATATTTATAGTGACACAGTAGTGTCAAGAGAGTTGTACCCTGTGTAGGGTCACGAATTATTATTTATTAATTTAGTAAAATGCTAATTATAATTTATTATTGTAACATGTACATATTATCAGATGTTAGTTCAAATACCTCTAGACCAAAGAAAGTTGATTTTTATATTATATTAAAGATTAATTTATTTTAATGTGTGTATTTATGTATCCCGAACTCTTTATTACAAAAGGAGTAAAACTTACCATATTTAAAAAATTACTTTTTTTGTAATATCTTAACTCACGAAATCGTAATAACACAGTTGCAAACAAATCATGGAAAGGGTGGGGTTTGAACCGAGTGGGGTTTGGCCAAGTGGTTAATGCACAGAGTTTTAGGACTCTTGCCATAGGTTAAAGTCCTTATATATATTTAACCCCTTCAGGGTCCAAGACCTAAATCTGAAGTGGTGCCCCAGTGTCCAAGAACTTTCAAAAAAAAAATTTGTTATTTTTTCTTATGAAATGGTAGAGAATCTTTTTGTGAAGCTAATAAAACAAAAAGTACGAAATTTGATGGAAAATTGACGAAATTATGCTCTTGCGAATTTTGATGTGTCAGCGATATTTATGAATCGGCGATTTTGCCGACTTTGACTCCCATTTTAGGCCAATTACATTATTCCAGTCAACCAAATACTTAGCTATTTCACTAGTATTACTTTTATTCTATCGATTGAGCACAAGAAATCGCCAAGTCAACTGTTTCAACTACAAATTAAAGTGATCGGAAATTGTTAATTTAGCCAATTTAACACAAAGTTCAAAATATTCCAATTTCAAAATAGGGTCCAGAATAAACAATGTAGGTATTCCTGGAACTAAACTAACATTTCCTCTGTTCATTAGTTATGTTTTGAGGCTTTACAAATAAATTCCATTTTGATTTTTTATTCACATAATGAATTTTTATTCACACCAAAAAAATAGAAGATTTACTGTTATGCAATACTGTAATAATTGTATAAATATCATCATCATATTTGTGAATGCATATTAGACCCACCAGCTGGCGTGTATTAGACGTGTGAGGTCATTTGTTTACTCTTGAATATCGGCAAAAATTTAACATTTCTGCTACTTTGAGCTCAGTTTCAAGCTATTTCCAGTGCTAAAACCAATCAAAATCATCTCTATTTCTGTAATATGTCTTCCATTCTATCAAATGAGACCAAGAAATCGCAAATACAACTATAAAAAACATACGAAAAAACACTGCAAAGTCGCTGTTTTAATCGAAAAATCATGATTTCAGTTTTTTTTCTCTCATTATACACAGTGTGCTGCAGGATCTGTTTTATGTGGTGCACACATACCACATAGATGTATTCTCTCATATCTAGGCCCAAATGTACCACTCACAGTTTATCAGAGTGAGCTGAGCTCATGACGTAGATCTACGGTTTGGACCCTGAACGTAAAGCCGTAGATCTACGGGACGGACCCTGAAAGGGTTAAGCAACCTTACACACCTACCATCCGACTTACGACCGAGTTCGGTTCCGAGAAACCGGTCGTAAGTCGAAATGATCGTAAGTCGAACTTTACTACTGAATATCAACAAAACATTTTTGTAATGACTTTATTTTATTGTTTTATTTTGGTATTTCATGTTTTACTTTACTTTTTATGTTGTTAGTACTGCATTTTATACTGTAAGGTTTAGGATAAACACTGTGTACAACACAAATAGTTGTTTATTTCCCAGAAATTTGGCATAAAAAACACGGTCGTAAGTCGAGTGGTCGTAAGTCGAGCAGGTCGTAAGTCGGATGGTAGGTGTATATATTTAAAAGCTGTGGTAAATATTTTCTGAGTATGTACGGTACTATACAGACTGGCAGCCAAGAGCTAAATTTTAGAAAACATTATTTTATAGTCCATACCAGATACATGTATTCGTTTTTTGTGTTTATGTACAGATCAAATGAATTTGATAATTTTGTGAGAGTTAATATCTATAGGCAGATACAGTACAGTACTTGTATTTTCAAACTAAAATCAATACAGTGGACCCTTGCCTTACGATATTAATCCGTTCCTGAGAGCTCATCGTAAGCCGAAATTATCGTTAGCCGAATTAATTTTCCCCATAAGAAATAATGGAAATCAAATTAATCCGTTCCTGGCACCCCAAAATATGAAAAAAAAAAATTTTACCACATGAAATATTAATTTTAATACACACAAAGTGAAGAAGACATGCACAATTACTACTCTACTAAGAACAGAATACATGACACTTACCTTTATTGAAGATCTGGTGATGATTGATGGGATGGGAGGAGGGGAGAGTGTGGAAGTTATTGTTTAGAAGGGGAATCCCCTTCCATTAGGACTTGAGGTAGCAAGTCCTTTTCTGGGGTTACTTCCCTTCTTCTTTTAATGCCACTAGGATCAGCTTGAGAGTCACTGGACCTCTGTCGGACAACAAATCTGTCCATAGAGCTCTGTACCTCCCTTTCCTTTAAGATTTTCCTAAAATGGGCCATAACATTGTCATTGTACAGGTTGCCAACACGGCTTGCAGTATCTGTGTCAGGGTGATTTTCATCCGTATAGGTTTGCAGTTCAACCCACTTTGCACACATTTCCTTAATCTCTTTTTTCAATTCCATACTAATTCTTGCCCTTTTTACCATAGGGATGGCTCTAGAAGCTTTCTTGGGGTCCATGGTGACTTATTTTGCAGTTACAAGCACTAAAAACACTGGAATAATGTGAAATGTACCAGATGTATGCGTAGATGCGATTGCACTGGCTTGCTTGTAAACACTGGTACTGAGGCCACACGGGGGACGTGTCCCAGACGAATCACGTAAGGCGAGTTTTTTATCATGAGGCGAGGCAAAATTTTTGCGTTCAAATTCTTTGTATGGCGGATTTAACATAACGCGATGTTTTCGTAAGGCGGGGGTTTACTGTTTTATATAAATTGGTAATTTAAGTTTAAGCTCTGTTATAATTAAAAGTTTATTTACACACAGTGAAATTAAACACAGGAGGGCCTGCTTATACGTCAGGTTAGGTTCCAAGTTACTGCTGTAAAGCAAAAGTCGTAAAGTGAAATTGCTTTTTTTTACCTTAAAATGCATATAAAAGCCTGGTAACGTATTTACACTATCAAGTGTAACATGTTTGTTATTAAGTGAGCAATAGAGCTAAGCCTAAAAAATGCATATACAGTTCACACACTACTCACCTTTAAAATATTTTCGTCCTTAGCTTATAGTGTATGGTGAATATATTTATTATAGGAAGTCTGAATAAATGAAGAATGGGTATAATTGAAAACTGCTGCATCAATGAAATGCTATAAAATGAAGAGCTGTAAAGCGGGGACCCTCCTGTGACTAAATTAACCCCTTCAGGGTCCAAGGCCAAAATCTGAAGTGGTGCTCCAGTGTCCAAGAAATTTTGAAAAAAAAAAAAATTATTTTTTCTTACAGAATTAAAGAGCATATTTTTGTGAAGGTAATAAGACAAAAAAAAAATCCTGATCAGTACTTACCGAGATACAGTGCCAAGAAGTTTGTCCAAAATGATGTGGTGGCGGCAACATCGACGAATTCCACATACGCGCATTACTTTATTTAGCGGTTTTTGTAGTTTTTTCTTTTCTTTTCCAATTTTTTTCTTTTCCTACTAACATTTGGGGCCTAAGAGACCAATACTGTGTATAATGTATGTATATAAATTCACTGTATTGAACACAATAACCGCACTAAAGTTATTATCATATTATTGTTTACCACTGTTGTTTATTACAATAAACATGCACAAATCTTGTATAATACTAATGTTCTATCATATATTTACATATTTACAATCACTGGACATGGTTTTAGAACTGCTGGAGCTTGTGGAACTCCTTGAAACAAGGCACCATACACAGAGGCACCTTACATTCCTCACACATAAACCGAGTGTCTTTGCGTCTTTGTTGCCGTCGTTCTGTTTGTGCACAGACGATGCATCTCTTCTGAGCAAATTTCTTCTGAGTTGAAGGAAGCTGTATTATGAAATGATCACCTTCCCTCCTCAAACGCTTGGGTATATCCTGAGTAATTCGAGGACCTTGTTGTATAGCAGGTGTTCTTACCTGGTACTTCATTATGAGTTGTCTGACAACAGACAAACAAAATTCACCATACGGTGGTCTGTTGCCAGTCTTTATTTGGTACATATTATATGCATTGAGCATTGAAATGTCCATGAGATGGAAGAAAAGTTTATGTACCACTTGTAACTCTTACGAACACAATCAACAAAACCAATCTGCATGTCACATTTGTCAACCAAGCGCATGTTTTGTGTATAATCAATCACTGTCACTGGTTTTCGAATACGTTCATTAGTCACTCGATCAACTTTGCCACTGTCTTGCATTTCATTATGGTGAATGGTTGTCAACAATGTGACATCTCGTTTGTCATACCACCGTAATGCCATGATGTCATTGGCAGTAAACTCCTGCACGTCATCACCACAAGCACCTGCGTTGAACCTGGGCATATGTTTACGATTAGAATGCACTGTGCCACACACATCTGTCTTGTTCACTCGCATGAAATCACTGAGTAATGGGCTTGTGTACCAGTTATCGGTATATAATGTATGCCCCTTACCAAGATAAGGTGCCATCATGTTTCTCACTACGTCACCTGAGATACCCAATAACATCTTGGTATCTTTCAATGTTTTACTTCCCGTGTATACAACAATATCCAACACCAGGCCACTGTCACAGTCACAGAGTACAAACAGTTTTATACCAAAGCGTTTCCTCTTGCTCGGTATATACTGCTTGAATGACAGTCTACCTTTGAACAAAATCAAAGACTCATCAATTACAAGATTCTTGAATGGATAAAAGTATATGCTGAACTTTAGTTTGAGATACATGAAAACATTTCTAATCTTGTATAACCTGTCACTTCTGTCAGGCCTGGTTTTGTCAGAGAAGTGCAACATATGTAACAATAAGATAAACCTGTTCACTGGGATGATTTCACTGAAGACCGGGGTAGAAATTAGCCGATCTGTGGACCAGTATGCTTTTATATTATGCTTATAGACATGAGGCATAAGCATTATTGTTGCAAAAAGCAAATACATTTCTGCAACAGTCATCTCTTTCCACCTGTGTAGTCTTGACTGTGGTGATATGATCGTATTTGCCATGGTGTACTCAGAATACTTATTACTTTCCCTGACAATAGTTTCCATCAATGGCTGGTCAAAGAATAATTCAAAGAATTCCAGTTCATTGGCCGTGGTTCCAAGGGGACAAGTAGGTAGAATTCCACTTTGAGTCATCAAAGTGGTGGGGCTTGGGAACAAAATTGGGATTTTGCTGCCAATCCCAGATACGGTTTGCTGGTGGATACTGGACATCATAGGCTGGTTGTGCGGGTGGTTGTGGTTGTGGTGGGCTGGTGGCTGACGCTCCGCTTTGTCCTTGAACTGAGTCAGCAGCATGGGTCCCAGCCTGGGCTGGTGAGTCACGCATGGCGGTGCCACTACCATCACCACTACCACCATCTACTGATGCCTGTGGTCTATCCATGCCAAGTGTAGCCACATCATTCTCACTATCACTATCTAAACCTGGTGTAGGGCCACGGGATGTACTCCGGGATGTACTCCGTCCCCTGGGCACAGCATAGGGTACACTACCCGAGCGCGTGTGGCAGCGCACATACCGACGCTTCACTGGTGAATATGATTCCTCACTATCACTACTCGAATGATCGTCAAGCGCAATAAAATCACAATCCACGTCACTATCATCATCATTACTGAAGTCAGAGGCCTGGCCACGTGAAAATATTAGTTTTCTCTTGCGTTGAGGTACAACCGACCGTGAGTCACGAGTGCCCACACCAGAGGTAGAAGGTTGAGGATCGTCAGGGTTTTCTGCACTATTATCGATATCCTGGTCATTCCTTTCGGTCACTAACTGATCAAAGCCATAGAATTCGTCTTCATTTCCACTTCCATCAGTGTCAGAACTATCAGATAGGAAGAGGAGAGTCCCAATTTTCCGGGGAGTGAGAGCTGACTTGCAACGAGGCATGGTGAACAAGAGTAACTGAGCCGGCGTTCCCACAATGCTTTGCGGGCGCCTAGATTTTTTGTTTATGGTGCACACCCACCACGCAGACCCGTTCTCTCACATGTAGGCCTATGAGCGCTTTCGCGCTAAATTTGACGGCGCTAAAATTTTGGCATAGATCTACGGTTTGGACACTCAATGTGAAGCCGTAGATATACGGGACGGACCCTGAAAGGGTTAATGGTGCTTCACTGGATTGCTTAATATAAATTACTTGATAAGTTACATTCATCATAGTTATATGTTATGTTTTATTACACTACAGTTACCAGTATACGTCTTCAAGATATAATTGAGCTTTCTATATATGTACAGTAAACCCTCAGTTTAGCTGACTGTTAGAGGAAAGCAGATGGCTGATAGTGGCACTGGTGGTGGACAGATGAGATTGTTTTGTCATGACTGTAGCAGTAATGGACAGTTACAGAACTTGTCTGTTATTTCCGAATTAATTGATCCTGCAGTTTTTGTCCTGTGGTTCAGAGTCCATTAAATCAAGATTTGTTTAGTTATAGGTCTAATGTATAATTTAGTTCATTTATGACTATACATGCATGCAGCATACACTGAAAATACTGTGCTTTCTAACTAGTATTCTTTGTTGCAGTATCTTAGAGAAGCAGGTTGGACATCTGATGGGGTAATTGCCATAGCACAACCCCGCCGTGTTGCATGCACGACTCTAGCTGAACGTGTTGCAGAGGAATGTGATGTGATACTTGGAAAAGAAGTTGGATACTCCATACGCTTTGATGACTATAGCACTCCTGGTACTACACAGATTAAATATATGACTGAGGGACTGTTGGTTCGAGAGATGATGGCTGATCCTTTATTAAGACAGGTTTGTATTCTTTCATATGAAGATGGTGTTTTTTTTTTTCACCCAGCTTTAGCATATTAAAATCATTGTATCTGTTACTTTCCTTTGATATATACCTGTTATATATTCTGCAGTGTGTCATTTTTCAGAGTGAATAACTCTATATTGAATCTGTAATGGAATAAAGAATATTTGATTTATTAATTTATTCTAAATTTGAGAGCCAACTGTTATAGACATGTATTTATCACTTTACAGACAGTATATTTAAATCATGTATTCTATTTAAATTTATATTATTGTCTAAGAATAAGTTTTACTTACCCAGGAAACTATGTTTTCTTTCTAGTATGCATAGCCTCCTCTCTGGCATGTCATAGCTCACTGATCTCCTCTTCATGAAACAATCTTAGCCTGTATTAAATTATTTGTTTAAAATAATATATGTAACTAATTATACTGATTGCTGTATAAAATTACAATATCATTTTTATCTAAAAATGTTCTGTACTATATGGAAATGAAAGTCATCCATTGTTTTGAAAAAATAATGTATTATAAGTCTTTTTAACCATTTTTTTCTCTCTCTTGGGGAAGGCCTTGATGCTGGTAAAGAAGTTTAATCTAAGGAATTGTAATTACTCTTTCTCTTCCTTGGATCAAACCTGATTGCCTCCCTTTCCCGTAATTCTAATTTAATTTGTTGGACTCATGATATCTGGCTCTTCTTTCTTTATAATATCCCTTTGCTTGAGTTTTTTGTATATTAATATATGTTTGTATTATTTATAAATTCTTTGTACATTTGTATCCCTGTTGTTTATTTGTCTTTTCTTATTGAATCTTTTTTCCCTGACTTCTGTTCAGTAAACAGATTTTATTGATTAGTAAGGGAATTCAGTTCTGTTACTTTGTAGTTGATTTTCTACATAATTGTTTATGCTCAAAGTAGTATTAAAACATTTGTACAGTACTGTGTTGTTATGCTTGATGAAGTCCATGAGCGAACACTCTACACTGACATTGTACTTGGACTCTTGAAGAAAATTCTTCGTAGACGGAAAAATTTGCGCCTCATCATCTCCTCGGCAACTGTTGATGCAGATCACTTGTATAACTTCTTTAATTACAACACTACAAAGGACAAGAGTAAAGACACTGCATCTGTGCTGTCAGTAGAGGGAAGAAATCATCTTGTTGATATCTGCTATCTTAAAGGTAAAAAAACAGAATACAGTGGACCCCCGGTTTACGATATTATTTCATTCCAGTACTGACCGAATTTGTTCCCATAAGGAATATTGTGAATTAGATTAGTCCATTTCAGACCCACAAACATACACATACAAACGCACTTACATAAATACACTTACATAATTGGTCGCATTGGGAGCTGATCGTAAACCGGGGGGCCACTGTATTTTATAAGGGTGATGCCTTTCAAATTATTATGTGATTTACGTACGTATTTAAATTGGCCATAATAGGAAAATATTTAATAAAATAGTGTATAGGTATGGCAGTACAATGCTAATCTTTCTTCTTTCAACAAACCGGCCGTATCCCACCAAAGCACGGTGGCCCAAAAAGAAAACCGAAAGTTTCTCTTTTTAAATTTAGTGATTTATACAGAAGAAGGGGTTACTAGCCCCTTGCTTCCAGCATTTTAGTCTCCTCTTACGACATGCATGGCTTACAGAGGAAGAATTCTGTTCCGCTTCCCCATGGAGAAGCAGTAATAATACATGTATGTATTATATATCATTTTAGTCACCTTCAAATTTTTTTCCTTTGCCCTTTTAGTAATTTATACAGGAGAAAAGGTTATTATTCCCTTACTCCCTGCATTTTAATTGCCTTTTGTGACATGCATGGCTTACAAAAGTGGTTTGGACATTTAGAGAGGATGGAGGAAAAATAGGATGAAGTACTCCTCTTCATCCAATAAAGACAACATAAAGTGTTATCAGCCTTTCAGATAGATATCACAATTAAAGTTATACAGACAAATCTGATGTTACATCACATTAGATTAGTTAGGATTTCCATTTAAGTGGAGACAGATACTAAATAGGAAAGCTTTCCAGCATTCCAGAGTTTTTGAATAAAGTATACAAACTGAATTAATGAATTTCAGCTGTATGATATTACGTATAGTATAAATAATAATTCATTTTCTCCATGGTGAGGTGGAACAGAATGCTTCCTCTGTAAGCCATGCTTGTCATAAGAGGCGATCAAAATGATGGGAGCAATGGGCTAGTAACCCCTTCTCTTGTATACATTACTAAATTTAAAAAGAGAAACTTTCGTTTTTCTTTTTGGTCCACCCTGCCTCGGTGGGATACGGCCAGTGCATTGAAAGATGATGATGAAGTAGTTTTGAACTGTAGTATTGGCCCACCTATGGTAAGACAGTGATGGAATGAGTGATGATGAAAGTGTGTCTTCTTTTTTTGGGTCACCCTGCCTTAGTGGAAAATGGCCAGTGTGTTAAAAAATACTTATGTACAGTTCTGTATTGATAATAATAATGATAATGAAAATAAATACAAAGATGATGATAATACTAAACATTTATAATGGCTTATAATTTTTAGTATTATAATTACTCTAGTAATACTAATACCGAACAATAATAATGACAACTATTTTGTCAGAATAATTACAGTGGTAATACTGTACTGTATTTTATAAACAGAAGCCACTGCTGATTATGTGAAATGCAGTGCAGAAACAGTGATGAAGATTCATCTCAGAGAGGGCCCAGGTGATGTCTTAGTCTTTCTCACTGGTTTAGAGGAAGTAGACACATGTTCTTCGCTTCTCAACCAACATGCAGCATCCCTTAAGAAAACTGATGGTAACGTGCCCTTTTATTCAAACTGTTGTTGGCAACAGAAATTCTTTTTACATGTTGAGCACCTTTTTGTATGTTTAAGAATTATTTTCCTTGGTTTAAGGTCTGTTGACTGCAGCAAGGTTATTAAATCTCAACTATATTTTATGCCAGGTGGTCTGATGTTCAGACTTTCTCAGTATGACATTTAAGCAACAAGATTAGAAGAATCAATTGATACTTTATGATTTATAAAATACTGTATCATATATGTACTATAGTGCTATTTATACAAATGCTTTTCTTGTACTTTTCTTTGTAGATTATTTTCAGAACACAGTCAGTAATTGGTAAAAAATTTCCTGTTCTTTAAAAAATATGTAGAGTTAGGTACACGTCTAGGAATTTAGACCTTGCCAAAAATCACGTTGAGCCTGAGTGGTACCGACCATTTCTGCTGGCTTATGTTTATTGTAATTTTTATTGGTTAGTTTTAGCTTGTATGTGTATGTGTTGTATGTGAATATGTGTACTTGGTATGTGTGCACGTGAGTGTAGCAGCTTTTATTGTATAGAGTGCTTTATAACCTTTTGATCCCAGAACTCTAAATTTTAAAATGTCCTTCTAATTCTGTACTTGCTTAAAGATTTTTTTTTTTCATAATTTAGGTTCCCTTCTTGTTTTACCAATGCATGGTGCCCTGAGAAACAGTGACCAACTGAGAGTGTTCCAGATTTCACCACCAGGAGTCAGGAAAGTGATTGTGGCCACCAATATTGCTGAGACATCCATTACCATACCAGGCATTGTATATGGTAAAACCCATGTTTATTGGTACTACATGTAGTTTTACTGTTATTGACGTATGAATAAAACCCTGTATAAGATAGAGAACCTGTTTTATAATAACTCTGCTAAACAAGCTTTCTCAATTCTACCAAAAATGTAGATAAGAGTACACATATCCTACCAAGCAGTGGGGAGGGAGCAAACAATGAGAAGGATGCAGTTAAAGTATTTTGTAGACTATACAGTGGACCCCCGACCAATGAAGGCATTGTCTAACGATAAAGTCGACTAACGAAGCATTTGAGCATAAAAATTTTGGCCCGACCAACGATGAAAAACTCGACCAACATGATTCGTCCCGAATGTGTGTCCACATGTCCCGTCTGGCCTGAGCGCGCCTTAGCTGCCCTGCCTTCAGTTAGTGTGCCAGTGTTTACAAGCCAGTCCGGTAGCATCCACGCATACATTCAGTACATTTTGTATTATTCCAGTGTTTTTAGTGCTTGTAACTGCAAAATAAGCCACCATGGGCCCCAAGAAAGCTTCTAGTGCTAACCCTGTGGTAAAAAGGGTGAGAATTACAATTGAAATGAGGATCATCATCACAAAGTATGAAAATGGAGTGCATGTCTCCGAGCTGGCCAGGTTGTATAACAAACCCCAATCAACCATTGCTACTATCTTGGCCAACAGAAAGGCAATCAAGGAAGCTGTTGTTGCAAAAGGTGCAAGTATCTTTTCGAAACACAGATTGCAAGTACTCGAAGATGTTGAGAGACTGTTATTGGTGTGGATAAATAAAAAACAGATATCAGGAGATAGCATCTCTCAAGCGATCATATGTGAAAAGGCAAGGCAGTTGCATAACGATTTAATTAAAAAAAATGCCTGCAACTAGTGGTGATGTGAGTGAATTTAAGGCCAGGTAAGTGTCATTTATTCTTCATTACACAATATACATATGTATACATGTATTGTGCATCTATCCTTCTGTTTGTGTGTAGGAAAATGTATATTTCATGTGGTATAAAAGTGTATAAACTAAGGGAGGAGGAAGTTCGGGTGAGATATAAGCGACTATTGGCAGAAAGGTGGGCTAGTGCAAAGATGAGTAGCGGGGGGGTTGAAGAGGGTTGGAATAGTTTTAAAAATGCAGTATTAGAATGTGGGGCAGAAGTTTGTGGTTATAGGAGGGTGGGGGCAGGAGGAAAGAGGAGTGATTGGTGGAATGATGAAGTAAAGGGTGTGATAAAAGAGAAAAAGGTAGCTTATGAGAGGTTTTTACAAAGCAGAAGTGTTATAAGAAGAGCAGAGTATATGGAGAGTAAAAGAAAGGTAAAGAGAGTGGTGAGAGAGTGCAAAAGGAGAGCAGATGATAGAGTGGGAGAGGCACTGTCAAGAAATTTTTATGAAAATAAGAAAAAATTTTGGAGTGAGTTAAACAAGTTAAGAAAGCCTAGGGAAAGTATGGATATCAAATTGGGGAGGAGGAGTATGGAAGAAGTGAATGTTTTCAGATACTTGGGAGTTGACGTGTCGGTGGATGGATTTATGAAGGATGAGGTTAATCATAGAATTGATGAGGGAAAAAAGGTGAGTGGTGCATTGAGGTATATGTGGAGTCAAAAAACGTTATCTATGGAGGCAAAGAAGGGAATGTATGAAAGTATAGTAGTACCAACACTCTTATATGGGTGTGAAGCTTGGGTGGTAAATGCAGCAGCGAGGAGACGGTTGGAGGCAGTGATGTCCTGTTTAAGGGCAATGTGTGGTGTAAATATTATGCAGAAAATTCGGAGTGTGGAAATTAGGAAAAGGTGTGGAGTTAATAAAAGTATTAGTCAGAGGGCAGAAGAGGGGTTGTTGAGGTGGTTTGGTCATTTAGAGAGAATGGATCAAAGTAGAATGACATGGAAAGCATATAAATCTATAGGGGAAGGAAGGCGGGGTAGGGGTCGTCCTCGAAAGGATTGGAGAGAGGGGGTAAAGGAGGTTTTGTGGGCAAGGGGCTTGGACTTCCAGCAAGCGTGCATGAGCGTGTTAGATAGGAGTGAATGGAGACGAATGGTACTTGGGACCTGACGATCTGTTGGAGTGTGAGCAGGGTAATATTTAGTGAAGGGATTCAGGGAAACCGGTTATTTTCATATAGTCGGACTTGAGTCCTGGAAATGGGAAGTACAATGCCTGCACTTTAAAGGAGGGGTTTGGGATATTGGCAGTTTGGAGGGATATGTTGTGTATCTTTATATGTGTATGCTTCTAAACTGTTGTATTCTGAGCACCTCTGCAAAAACAGTGATAATGTGCGAGTGTGGTGAAAGTGTTGAATGATGATGAAAGTATTTTCTTTTTGGGGATTTTCTTTCTTTTTTGGGTCACCCTGCCTCGGTGGGAGATGGCCGACTTGTTGGAAAAAAAAAAAAAATTTTTTTGTTCATACTTTTGGGTGTCTTGAACTGAGGAATTTGATTTCCATTATTTCTTATGGGGAAAATTAATTCAACAAACCATAATTTCGTCTAATGATGAGCTCTCTTGAACGGATTAATATCATTGGTCGAGGGTCCACTGTACCTCCATACCGCTTTGGAGATTTTTGTGAATATAATGCTTATAATGTAACCTAGGTCATACTAGGTGAAGTGAACCTTCTAATACAGAATCTTTCTCAATACATGTGCGGTCAGAGGTATTTTTTCTTATTTTTATAGCACTCCAACTAGCTGTCTCTCACTGAGGTAGAGTGACCCAGAAAAGAGGAAACATGTTCACCACCATTCAGTCAATTGCTGTCAATGCTAGAAGTATGCTGACATCACAGGTCAAATGACCCTCACTTCTGCCTTAGAGCATAGGCACTGTATTTCCCACCTCCATGACTCAAGTACTCTGTCAGACACTGCAACACAATGGCATCTTGGTACAGAAGAGAAAACACCTTGGACAACTTTTTCAAGTGAGAATTGTTTGATCTGAGAGGGACATGACCTCTCAGTGGCTACTTTCTCACTACTACTACTCTGCACCTCTCCTTCTGACAGTATTCAAGTCTCAACACTGTCTCTTGATCTTCAGTTAGTTCCAGACTTTGGAACAGAACTTCTCCAGGCTGAGGGACTGACAACCTCAAATCTACGACTTCAAGGGTGATGGACTGATTACATCGTCTTCACATCTCTACTGCTCCTGCCTACTTTCTGTACTCGACTGAAGAAGCCTACTGTGTAGGCGAAACGTTTCGGAATAAAGTTGCCTAAATGTTGCCTATGTGTCTTATCTACCACAGCTTAGCTGCTTTCCCTGAATCCCTCCGTAAATGTTACCTTGCTCTGACTTCAGAATTTCCTCCTTTCTCTTATTAATTACCAAAAAGAAAAAGGAGATTTTGGTTAGAAGTGGTACAGTTTTGAAAAATGCTTCATTCATTTGTATGAATTTAACACTCTGAATGGGTACTATTCTAGGCACTTATACGTTGTATCTGGTTTTTATCTTGGTCTTTAAAAACAGCTTTTTTTTTTTTTTTCAAATCTAGTGCTTGAGAATGTAAGTCCTGATGTGTTACACAAGTATCATTTATGTTAGTGATTCTCAAAGCATATGTGTTCCTAACTCATGTGTCTAGTTAAGGAGCAGAGGTATACTGGGATATCCAACAAATCAGTGCTTGAATAACACACCGGGACATACATTTTTACAGTGGATCAGCCAAAAAAAAACCAGTCATTGATAAAAAAAAAAGATATAAGCATCTAAAAGTAGCACCCATTCCAAATCCATTATTATATATATTCTACATCATACAGAGTGTTTCATTTATATACCCTTTGCTAATGAACATATACCGATATTAATTCACAAACTAATTTCACATCATTGTAACTTGAAAGTGATACTCAAATCTTTACCTAATGTGACTCAGTATGTTATTTTTTCAGTCACAGCTATTATAATCTGATGTATTAATGGTGAAGTATTGGAAGCCGAACTATTTTATTCTCATTCTGCAATAACATCTGAACCAAGAAAACTTGTGTAGAATTCTTAAGTGGATAGAAATAGAAATAGAAATTGTTAATATTTTAAGACTACAGTAATATAATGACATTTCATCCTCTTTTATGTCATTTAGTTTGTTCACTTGATTACAAGAGTAAGGATACAGCAATAGTAATTCAGTGAAGGTGGCTCAAAAAGTAATTGTTTTAACAAATATGTTATGTTGCAGCATTGAGTTATCTAGTGGCATACATTTGCATTTCAGTAACAAAGAAAAATTAAAAATCACTAATGACCTGACTGGCCAATGGCTTGGCCGATAAGCAAAACAGTGGATTGAACCTCACTGCTCCTTGTACTGAGTAACTCAAATTGGTTGAGCACTTCATAAAATATACAACAGTTGGTTGTTTCAGTGTTTTCTCTATCAAATTTAAAGTCAACTTCATTGAAGTTTAAATTAGTGAAGTTTTTCCATAGTATAACAGTGTTTTCAGGCAAGGAAAGGAATTAAGCTTTAATGTTTAAAAAGTCTTGTTTGAGGAGCATGCTATGTAAACCTTTTTCTAGACTTGATTGAGTTTGTAATAGCCAAATAATTTGAATAGTTGTAGACTGTGGATTTGTGAAACTTCGATGGTACAACCCCAGTGGTCATACAGATGCCCTTGTAGTTGTCCCTATTTCCCAAGCATCAGCCATTCAGAGGGCAGGAAGAGCAGGACGAACCCGTTCAGGAAAAGTATACAGGTGAGTCTCCACTCATATATATTTTTGTTTTCCCATGACTCCTCCCTTCATATTGTTACATTGTATGGTAGTGTAGTTTTAGTAAGTATAGCACAATAATCTGCTGTAGTGCAGGGCAGTATTATACAATAGTACATAAATCTCTTTTCCAAAACACTAATCCAAGAATTAAGAAAAATCTCTCTTCATATTTTTTGTTTAGAATAAAAAGGTGTCCAATTTCTGTTATTTGTAATTTTTTATAATTCAGACATGCCTGCACACACTTTATTCCATGAAGCTGTTATGCTATATAATAAAACAATTGAAAGTTTCAAAAAATTACATTGTGAAGTTAAAGTATGTAAACCCTCCACATAATGGATTTGAAAAATACAAAACAACAGCTGGATCAGTGAGTATAGAAACAATGAATAAAGTCCATTGTTTACAGAACTCTCCATTATCTATCCACCAAAATTCCCATTACTGGAGGGTTTACTATACTTTGTCCATTGTTTGTGATAAAATGTATAGAAATGAAAGCCAGATCTGTATACATTTTACATACAGATTATACCCTGAAGAAGAATTTAACAAATTTAGTGAAGTTACACCTCCAGAGATGGTTCGTACAAACCTTTCTTCAGCTGTTCTCAACTTAATGGCTTTAGGAATTGGTATGTGCATTTTTATTTATTTTGTACTTCTCAGTTTTGCATACAATATATTACAAGAATGGGAAATTATGTGCAGTTTTGGATATTTTCTTGGACAGATGCTAATATTGTTCACTTTGTATGTATGTAGTATATATATATGTGAGCGTGCATGTATGTATATATGTGTGCATGTATGCATACATACATATACTTATGTATGTACATATATACATGCAGTATATCACTAAAATACAATACTGTATATTAAATAAGATTTTGAGTCTCAGGCAGTTTAGGTTTTTTGTTGCCAGTTTTATGATTTTTTTTTTTTCAGAAAACATGCTGAGATTCGACTTTTTGTCACCTCCACCAGCTAAACATTTAATATCTGCATTAGATGAACTGTTTGCATTGGGGGCTCTCAGTGAAGAGGGCACTCTTACTAAGCCACTGGGACAACAAATGGCAGAGTTTCCCTTACCTCCTCAGTTAGCCAAGATTTTACTCGTTTCAGGTAATGTTATGGCAGTTTTAAAACATATTACATAACTAAAATACTCCTGAAGATTGACTGTTTTGTATATTGTAGCTTACTTAGAAAAAAAGGCAGATGAAGTATGTTAGTGAATATAAATTTTAGAATGTGGGTTATTATACGCCTGTCATACGCCTTTTCTAAATCATAAATGCCACAAAAACCTCTGTACCCTTATCTAAACACTGTTCACCTATATGTTTCACTGTAAACACTTGGTCTACACACCCACTACCTTTCCTGAAGCCTCCTTGTTCACCTGCTATCCTACTCTCCGTCTTACTCTTAATTCTTTCAATAATGACTCTACCATACACTTTACCAGGTATACTCAACAGACTTCTTTCTTTCAACACACCGGCCGTATCCCACCGAGGTGGGGTGGCCCAAAAAGAAAAACGAAAGTTTCTCCTTTTACATTTAGTAATATATACAGGAGAAGGGGTTACTAGCCCCTTGCTCCCGGCATTTTAGTCGCCTCTTACAACACGCATGGCTTACGGCGGAAGAATTCTGTTCCATTTCCCCATGGAGATAAGAGGAAATGAATAAGAACTAGAAAGAAAATAGAAGAAAACCCAGAGGGGTGTGTATATATATGCTTGTACATGTATGTGTAGTGTGACCTTAATGTAAGTAGGAGTAGCAAGACGTACCTGAAATCTTGCATGTTTATGAGACAGAAAAAAGACACCAGCAATCCTACCATCATGTAAAACAATTACAGGGTTTCGTTTTACACTCACTTGGCAGGACGGTAGTATCTCCCTGGGCTGTTGCTGTCTACCAACCTACTACCTAAAACTCAACAGACTTATTCCCCTATAATTTTTGCACTCTCTTTTGCCTTTATACAAAGGAACTATGCACATTCTCTACCTAGGGATCGGCAAAGAGCATGCATAGTTGAGTGAATTGATAAGGGGAAAAAGGTGAGTGGTGCACTTAGGAGTCTGTGGAGACAAAGAGGGAAATGTATTAGAGTATAGTTATACCAACACTCTTATATGGGTGTGAAGCATGGGTGGTGAATGTTGCAGTGAGGAGAAGGCTAGAGGCAGTGGAGATGTGTCTGGGGGCAATGTGTGGTGTGAATATAATGCAGAGAATTTGTAGTTTGGAAATTAGGAAGAGGTGTGGGACCACCAAAACTATCATCCAGAGGGCTGAGGAAGGGTTGCTGAGGTGGTTCAGACATGTAGAGAGAATGGAACAAAACAGAATGACTTCGAAAGTGTATAAATCTGTAGTGGAGGGAAGGCAGGGTAGGGGTCGGCCGAGGAAAGGTTGGAGGGAAGGGGTAAAGGAGGTTTTGTGTGCAAGGGGCTTGGACTTCCAGCAAGCATGCGTGAGCGTATTTGATACGAGTGAATGAAGACAAATGGTTTTTAATACTTGACGTGATGTTGGAGTGTGAGCAAAGTAACATTTATTGAAGGGATTCAGGGAAACTGGCAAGCCGAACTTGAGTCCTGGAGATGGGAAGTACAGTGCCTGCACTCTGAGGGAAGGGTGTTGCTGTTGCAGTTTTATAAATGTAGTGTAAAGCACCCCTCTGGCAAGACAGTGATGGAGTGAATGATGATAAAGGTTTTTCTTTTTCGGGCCATCCTGCCTTGGTGGGAATCAACTTTTGTGTTAATAAATAAAAAAAATAATAATTATTATTATTATTGTGAAGCTGAGGTCCTAAACCTGTAAGGGTTGTATAGTGCCTGATGGTGCAGGTGAGAATACTGACAGCGAGCATTTTATAGTGGAATTAAAGCCCGAAAGAAGTCAAGTGAATTTCTTAAAGTATGGTTTAAACTTCTTAACAATATTACTGTATTTCATGGCAATAAATTGGCTGCTTTTAATAAATTATGTGATTCTTATAATACATGATGTGTGTTTGTATTTATTTATTTCAGGTGACTTTGGGTGTTCACAAGAAATTCTGTCAATTGTGGCAATGTTGCAGGTTCAAAATATATTCATGATACCTCGAGGTCAAGAGCGCCGTGCTCGTGCTATCCATAGAAACTTTCAGGTATAGTGTTGTATGGGAAAATACTGATTATTGGTACATCAGAGAGTTGCTGAATGAATACTGTGATTCCAAAAAATGTCTCTGTATGGCAGCCGAATACCTGAATGAATAAAGAAAATGATGAGAGGTAAGGAGAAAGTGGAATAAGCTTGTGGTGAAAGTAGTGAAGGCAAATTCAGCTCAAGACTTAAACAATGAAACTTGGGGAATTTGTAAAATATGAGTTTAAGAAGTGGGGTCCAGGAATTAGAGCTTGGCCACTGTAAACAGTAATGCAGGTATATGTGCATGCACATGTGTGTATGGATGTGTTATTATTAATAAGGTACTATAAATGATATAATTCTCAAGACTAAAGCACATAGTTGACAGTTATCCATGCATTGTTGAGTGAATTATTTTTTTTTATAAATGGGAAGCCCTGAACCCTTAGGTGTTATACAGTGCATGAGGAATAGAAGGTAATAAAGCTTGATCCAAAAAGGGGGGAAAGGATAGGTCCACTTCCTGGGTTCAGAAGCCCCTCGCCAGCATCAAACCACATTTCTTGAGAGGTGTTAAAAGTGAAGCAGTTGGAATGCTGTATTTCTAAGGGCAATCTTGCACCAGTATAAAACATTGTACGTAATGTGTAAGTCAGTACCTGGAAGAGAATATTTCATTAGTAAGTAATGAGTTCTATTCACCTCTTACTTTGTAATAACAATTTTTCAGAAATTTCCAACTACTACATATCCAAGGCTTGACTTTTATGTTGCATGTGCTTCATATGCTGTCAGCTTGGGGAGATGGCAAAAGTATCTTGCTTTTGAATGCATGTTATTGAATCCACTTTATTCTCACTTAAGTCTGATCATGTTAACTCACACTGTCATTGGAAATACTACTGTTATGTATATTTTAGTGAAACAAGAGAATCCAGTATATTATTACAGGTACTGAATTTTTATTACAATGATTTGAGCTGTAATTAAAATTGGTAGTTATGCAGTAATTTAAAATAAAATTGCCTGAGCTTGCTACCACCTGCAGCTCACAAGACTGCCATCCCCATGAGCCCCTTTGGGGCGAGGTAGATGGCAGACCACAGGCCTAGCTTCTCCCTACGAGCCACTGGCTAGGCCTGGGGACAGTTGGTCCCAAAGATGAGGGGGTACTTGTACCTCCTCCCATGGGAGACTTAGGTCTCGAGATACTCCCCAGACAGGGAGCCAAGGCCGGGTCACCACTATTGGAAAAGACCCGGGCCGGGAAAGTACCGGCGAATAAAAAAAAAAAAAAAAAAAAGTACCAAAATTTATATACATGTCCTGATAAGTTGATAAATAAATGGTATGATATTATTATTGTTAGTGAGGTTGCATATGGCTATAACAGTTATATCACTGTAATGTCTAAAAATAAAGCACAGTAAATATATTATTATTATTATAATCAAGGGGGAAGCGCTAAACCCGGAGGATTATACAGCGCCTGGGGGGGGCGATGTGGAAGGCATTCAGGCTTAATTCGGGGAACTGGAGCACAGATCCAATTCCCTAAATCAAGAGCCCCTCACCAACATCAAGGAACCTTCCTTGAGGGGACAGTAAATATAGCACGAAGAGTCTGTGTGTGTGTCTGGTACAGTATGTGGAAACTGAAACAGTTCATAATACCATACTACAAATGGGCATACTATACTGTAATTTTAAATGTATTGTTCTACTGAAAACCATGCATAAATTTCTTCTCTTTCCTAGGTTAATGAAGGAGACTTAATAACACTACTAAACGTGTTCACTGCTTACAAAAAGCAAGAAGAGTCAAAACATTGGTGCATGAAGAAATTCATCAATCACCGTGCTCTACGCAGAGCAGTTGAGATTAGAGGAAGAATGGAAAAACTTTTAGCAAACTTTAACATTCCAATAACTTCCAGTGAAGGTAATGTCAGTTTGATTGTTAATTGCACCTTTAAATAGATTGGTGATCAACATCTCGGAAATCTGTCCTGATTTAAATACATCTCATTAGGCTCTCTTGATTTACATCACATGAGGCTGTTCCAGCATTTTCAGGAGATAGTGATCCAGCTGATCTTGTAAGGCTATCCTGATTTGTATCTCATGAGACTGTTTTCATTTCCATTTCATAAACCTGTCATCTCATGAGACTGCCTGGATTCACATCTCATGAAGGCTGTCATGATATGCATGTTTTGAAGCTCTTTCCTTTGAGGGCTGACTTTATTTTGTGGTGAGGAGATTGCAGGCTTCATGAATGCCTTGAATTAGTGAAGCCAAGCTTCTCATGCCAAGGTAGTGACAGTTGCAAAAGCTAACAAAGTGATGCCCATATGTGTTTGCCATTTTTGGAGACCCATATATTGTATTGTACATTACCTGCAAATTGCACCTGTTCATGGTATTGTGGCTTATTGGTGGACAGCACTTTGGTGAGTGAATAGAGGTAAAGCAGGAGATTGTGGTCTCACTGAATCAATCAGCTGGTCTTGCACTAGTCCATCATAGCCTACTGGAGGGTTGTATGTATGCTGCCCAAGCTCATATTTCATGTTTTTGGTTTGCATTCCACTTTGTAGATCAAGGGCTTAATGACTTATAAGGTTAGTAGTACAGTTGAGAATTCACATTTTGGGAAAAAAAAAAAGTGTCTTCGATGCCATAAAATACGGCAATTGCTGCCGACAACAAACCGGCACTAGTACAAATAATAAAACATATATAAAAAAAAAAAATGAAGCTCGTCTGTCTTGGCTCAACAGACGAGGGTCGAGCCTCTACATCTTGTGCTGAATGATCCATTTGTGGCACATCATATCAACACTCGAAAAACTCATGGATTTTGGAATTTCGGAGAAAGGATTCTGTACAGTATAAAGTGGGTGGTATGGCACTTGGCCTGATTGCAATTTATGAAGTTGAGTGCTTGGTTTGGATCAAGCAGCAATTAGAGGAAATGTACTTTTTTTTATACTTGTGGCTACTCCTAGGTTCTCCGAGGGTTACGTATACACTCTCTCTCCATTACTTGTGGAACATCTCAAGGGGCAGCATTTTAACAATGGAGAGGAGATTCAAGCAAAATTGTAAACATGTTAGATACTGTTAGGAAAGAAAGAGTTCCAGAAATGTTTCGAGAAGTGGCAGAGCCAGCGTGATCAAATGTATAGCCTTTCAAGGAGAGTACTTCAAGGAAGACAACTTCAGCTGGGTGATTAGATTGTCTGTATTTTTTTGTGCTCTATGACCCTTGTGGGTTTAGCACTTAGTTTTGAAAAATACTAATACTAATAATAATTTTTGTGCAGTCCAGGAACTTTTTTGAAAACAGTTCATATGTAAGAGCCTGTGTGAACCATTTACTTTTTATATAATATTAGTCATAAGTAGCACTTTATGTAAAGTAATAAAAGTTTGTTTCACAGCCACAACAGTCTTAATTTGTAGCTACAGCCATCTTCGTTTAATAAATTCTTTATTAATTACAGTGGTACCTCGAGTTTCAAACGGCTCCCAACTTGAACAATTATGTAAGTGTATTTTTGTAAGTGCTTTTGGAAGTGTATTTTTGGGGGTCTGAAATGGACTAATCTAATTTACATTTTTCCTTATGGGAACAAATTCATTTGGTATTGGCACTCGGGCAGCCTTCCGGAACGAATTAAGTTCGTAACTCGAGGTACCACTATTTTATTGATATACTAACTGTTGAAGATTAAAGTTGTTTGCATTTGTAGGTGGTGTAGATGCTGTGTGTAAATGCATCACTGCTGGTATGTTCCCAAATGCAGCCTACCTCCACCATTCGGGTACCTATCGAACTGTGAGGGGCAACCAGGTGCTGTGTATTCATCCCTCTTCTGTACTCTACACTGAAATGCAACCACAGTGGTTTGTCCTATACTTTAATCTACAGTATGTTTAAATAACCAGATGTTTTGGTGTTTGCCAAATACATGAAGAATATTTTTAAGTGAAAATAGGATTGAACATTGATGAATCAGTGCATTGCAAGTTAGGCAAGTGAGAGGAGAGAAAGTTTTGAGAAGATGAATGAGTTTGCCAAAATGGCACTGAGCACATAATGCATGACACGTGATCATTTAGTACATGACATTGAGAAGACAAAAGGAGGATGGATGCTAAAATACAAGACTAAACGCAAGAGGAAAAGGTTTATTTATTTATTATCACACCGGCCGATTCCCACCAAGGCAGGGTGGCACGAAAAAGAAAAACTTTCACCATCATTCACTCCATCACTGTCTTGCCAGAAGGGTGCTTTACACTACAGTTTTTAAACTGCAACATTAACACCCCTCCTTCAGAGTGCAGGCACTGTACTTCCCATCTCCAGGACTCAAGTCCGGCCTGCCGGTTTCCCTGAATCCCTTCATAAATGTTACTTTGCTCACACTCCAACAGCACGTCAAGTATTAAAAACCATTTGTCTCCATTCACTCCTATCAAACACGCTCACGCATGCCTGCTGGAAGTCCAAGCCCCTCGCACACAAAACCTCCTTTACCCTCCCCCCAACCCTTCCTAGGCCGACCCTACCCCGCCTTCCTTCACTACAGACTGATACACTCTTGAAGTCATTCTGTTTCGCTCCATTTTCTTACATGTCCGAACCACCTCAACAACCCTTCCTCAGCCCTCTGGACAACAGTTTTGGTAATCCGCACCTCCTCCTAACTTCCAAACTACGAATCTCTGCATTATATTCACACCACACATTGCCCTCAGACATGACATCTCACTGCCTCCAGCCTTCTCCTCGCTGCAACATTCATCACCCACGCTTCCACCCATATAATGAGCGTTGGTAAAAACTATACTCTCATACATTCCCCTCTTTGCCTCCAAGGACAAAGTTCTTTGTCTCCACAGATCCTAAGTGCACCACTCACTCTTTTTCCCTCATCAATTCTATGATTCACCTCATCTTTCATAGACCCATCCGCTGACACGTCCACTCCCAAATATCTGAATACGTTCACCTCCTCCATACTCTCTCCCTCCAATCTGATATTCAATCTTTCATCACCTAATCTTTTTGTTATCCTCATAACCTTACTCTTTCCTGTATTCACCTTTAATTTTTCTTCTTTTGCACACCCTACCAAATTCATCCACCAATCTCTGCAACTTCTCTTCAGAATCTCCCAAGAGCACAGTGTCATCAGCAAAGAGCAGCTGTGACAACTCCCACTTTGTGTGTGATTCTTTATCTTTTAACTCCACGCCTCTTGCCAAGACCCTCGCATTTACTTCTCTTACAACCCCATCTATAAATATATTAAACAACCACGGTGACATCACACATCCTTGTCTAAGGCCTACTTTTACTGGGAAAAAATTTCCCTCTTTCCTACATACTCTAACTTGAGCCTCACTATCCTCGTAAAAACTCTTCACTGCTTTCAGTAACCTACTCCTACACCATACACTTGCAACATCTGCCACATTGCCCCCCTATCCACCCTGTCATACGCCTTTTCCAAATCCATAAATGCCACAAAGACCTCTTTAGCCTTATCTAAATACTGTTCACTTATATGTTTCACTGTAAACACCTGGTCCACACACCCCTACCTTTCCTAAAGCCTCCTTGTTCATCTGCTATCCTATTCTCCGTCTTACTCTTAATTCTTTCAATTATAACTCTACCATACACTTTACCAGGTACACTCAACAGACTTATCCCCTATAATTTTTGCACTCTCTTTATCCCCTTTGCCTTTATACAAAGGAACTATGCATGCTCTCTGCCAATCCCCAGGTACCTTACCCTCTTCCATACATTATTAAATAATTGCACCAACCACTCCAAAACTATATCCCCACCTGCTTTTAACATTTCTATCTTTATCCCATCAATCCCGGCTGCCTTACCCCCTTTCATTTTACCTACTGCCTCACGAACTTCCCCCACACTCACAACTGGCTCTTCCTCACTCCTACAAGATGTTATTCCTCCTTGCCCTATACACGAAATCACAGCTTCCCTATCTTCATCAACATTTAACAATTCCTCAAAATATTCCTTCCATCTTCCCAATACCTCTAACTCTCCATTTAATAACTCTCCTCTCCTATTTTTAACTGACAAATCCATTTGTTCTCTAGGCTTTCTTAACTTGTTAATCTCACTCCAAAACTTTTTCTTATTTTCAACAAAATTTGTTGATAACATCTCACCCACTCTCTCATTTGCTCTCTTTTTACATTGCTTCACCACTCTCTTAACTTCTCTCTTTTTCTCCATATACTCTTCCCTCCTTGCATCACTTCTACTTTGTAAAAACTTCTCATATGCTAACTTTTTCTCCCTTACTACTCTCTTTACATCATCATTCCACCAATCGCTCCTCTTCCCTCCTGCACCCACTTTCCTGTAACCACAAACTTCTGCTGAACACTCTAACACTACATTTTTAAACCTACCCCATACCTCTTCGACCCCATTGCCTATGCTCTCATTAGCCCATCTATCCTCCAATAGCTGTTTATATCTTACCCTAACTGCCTCCTCTTTTAGTTTATAAACCTTCACCTCTCTCTTCCCTGATGCTTCTATTCTCCTTGTATCCCATCTACCTTTTACTCTCAGTGTAGCTACAACTAGAAAGTGATCTGATATATCTGTGGCCCCTCTATAAACATGTACATCCTGAAGTCTACTCAACAGTCTTTTATCTACCAATACATAATCCAACAAACTACTGTCATTTCGCCCTACATCATATCGTGTATACTTATTTATCCTCTTTTTCTTAAAATATGTATTACCTATAACTAAACCCCTTTCTATACAAAGTTCAATCAAAGGGCTCCCATTATCATTTACACCTGGCACCCCAAACTTACCTACCACACCCTCTCTAAAAGTTTCTCCTACTTTAGCATTCAAGTCCCCTACCACAATTACTCTCTCACTTGGTTCAAAGGCTCCTATACATTCACTTAACATCTCCCAAAATCTCTCTCTCTCCTCTGCATTCCTCTCTTCTCCAGGTGCATACACGCTTATTATGACCCACTTCTCGCATCCAACCTTTACTTTAATCCACATAATTCTTGAATTTACACATTCATATTCTCTTTTCTCCTTCCATAACTGATCACTTAACATTACTGCTACCCCTTCCTTTGCTCTAACTCTCTCAGATACTCCAGATTTAATCCCATTTATTTCCCCCCACTGAAACTCTCCTACCCCCTTCAGCTTTGTTTCGCTTAGGGCCAGGACATCCAACTTCTTTTCATTCATAACATCAGCAATCATCTGTTTCTTGTCATCTGCACTGCATCCACGCACATTTAAGCAACCCAGTTTTATAAAGTTTTTCTTCTTCTCTTTTTTAGTAATTGTATACAGGAGAAGGGGTTACTAGCCCATTGCTCCCGGCATTTTAGTCGCCTCATACGACACGCATGGCTTACGGAGGAAAGATTCTTTTCCACTTCCCCATGGACAATAGAAGAAATAAAAAAGAACAAGAGCTATTTAGAAAAAGGAGAAAAACCTAGATGTATGTATATATATATATATGCATGTGCGTGTCTGTGAAGTGTGACCAAAGTGTAAGTAGGAGTAGCAAGATATCCCTGTTATCTTAGCGTGTTTATGAGACAGAAAAAGAAAGAGGAAAAGGTGTCTTTGTAAAATCATTCATAACATCAGTTATTTCACAACTGTGTAATGTTGGTCACAGAACAAGTCTTTTAGCAAACTGTAGCAATTGTTTATTAAATGATAAGTATTATTTATTTGTATATTAGTCAGATGTATAATTTTTCCCAAATCTTTTCCTTTAAGGGAGGTGCTTGTAAATGACTTTTAATTATAAGAATTCTAGCTTACATGAACTTTTGGATCAGCCTTTATGACTCCTAAGGGTTTAATGCTTTCCCATGAATACAGTAATAATAATAATAATAATAATAATAATAATGATTATTGTCAAATATTTCAGTGGCATTCAAGTACAGTATCTAGAATTAAAAGAGCACCTGGAACACTCAGGAAAATTGTTAAAGTGAATCATTAGCTCCTTGCATTTAAAAGCCAATTATTATCTATTAATGTAAAGTATTATGATATTATATATTCATTTTGTGGTTGTTATAATCCATATAGGTTTAACACGCACCTAAAAATTATGAATATGAAAACGACAAGCCTTAGAAAAAAAATGGATTTAGGGAAGGCATTTGGAAGAACTGGAGCAGACTATATAGACTGCATAGCCAGAGACTGAAAAATGGTTCTGGACTTAGAAGCAATTTTGTGTAACCCCTTTAGGTTTAGTGCTTTCCAAGAATATAATAATCCTTGACTCGCTGTCAATAATACACAATAGTCCTAAATCTAGATAGCCTCAGTATGGCCATAGTCCTGTCCGTCTTCCCCATGCATTAAAAAATGCTAGGCCGTAATGGGTCATACAGTGATGGTGAAGCTGTTAATACTTGTGGATTTAGTTTCCTCATGCAATATTGCTTCAATGGGGTAGTGCTAAATCTTAAGGCGTCATAGAGCCTGGGTAATGGGAAGCAATAAGATTCAGTTCGAGAAAGGGAATGGCAAGTCCAGTTTTTTTTGGATCAGGAGTCCCTCAGTAACATTGAACATTTCTCAAGGGTATCAAGGACTTTAGAACAGCCATCCATTTTGAACATTATAATTATTTTGGGGGGAGCACTAAACCCATAGGGATTATACAGCATGTGGGGGGGGGGATACACTCAGGGAATTTGAGTACAAATCAAATTACCTAGATCAAGAGCTTTTCACCAGCATCAAGGAACCTCTGAAGGGTTGAACATTATGAACCTGTTTTAGTTTTGCAAATTGTTGGTAAATATTCATATCTATCCACAGGTTATTTTTCTTGTTTATATTTAATGCAGGATCAGACTTGCTAAAACAAATTTTCTTTATTTTCAGGGTGTTATTCCATGAAGTGCTGCACACATCACAAATGTTTATGCGTGACTTGACAGTCATTGACCCAGCTTGGCTGCTAGAGCTTGCACCACATTTCTATGAAAAAAGGACTATGCAAAATTAATAAAACATACAAAACTGCAAATAAAAATTTTATTACACAGGATGGCACTTTGTTTTCATTAATAACAAAAAACAATGTTGAGAAAGGTACACTGCGAGATGGATAAGAGCATGGAAATTCTTCAGCTTTTAGTACGCATGGATAGGAACACGTACTGCCCCAAAACTATTTTCTTCAACGGAGGAGGCACCCACCATAATTGGAGACGTTCCAAGCCAAAATATTTTGTTTCTAATTCCCTTTATTGTTTTAATATAAAATATTGGTTTAAATAGTTTTTTTTTTTACTAAGTACCATTCACTTTGGCTTATAAAAAGTATTAAACACTTGATAATTAGTGTAACATGTTAAACAGAAAAGAAATATAATACAGTATACAATACAGATTTGTAAAGGCAGGCAGTAGCTGAACTGACTTAGTGTGGAAAGAGGGTAAATGGAGGGGTGTTGGCAAGCCTCTCACACTGACATTTCAACTATATAGGCATGTAAGCAGAAATGCTACCTTACCACCCTAAAAACCAACCTTATTTCTTATGCCCATTTCTTGACAAATCTTGACCAAACAAATGTGAGCCCATGTCATTAATTGGTTTCAAAGCTGTAAGTGTGTAACACTAAGTTGGGTACCTAGTGTATTATACAATCTGCTATGAATTGACACAATAATTAACATACTGTATTAAATATTTATATTCATTTGTAAAGAGTAATTTACACATGAGTAATTTTGGGGAAAAGTTGCAAGAACATAAGCAGTTGTGAGAGATTACCTATTAAACAAAGCTTTCAAACAAAACTAAATACTACAACCAAACATAAACATACATCCTCATCCAACAATGTATAACTTTTCACAGATAAGGCATATAAATGTGTACAAAAATGAAAAGTTATCACGATCTGCTTGCATCCATTCACAACATAAAAATGTAATACAAGAGGATTGAACATTCCAAGGCAAGCTACTCACAGAGCAGGCTGAAAATATAAGTATGTAAAGGCCACACATGAAGAGGCTTTGGGACAATCCCCTAACCTTAACATGGATGGACACTCAAATATATAGTAATAAATATTCAAGTGGTTGCCACTTACTAAGGATAAAATGAGATGTATGCAAACAAACATTTCCAATTTGATACACAGTACTTAATACTACAAAAGCTTCAACTCTCGGGTCAAATGTCATTAACCAATTTTAACACAAGCTATCCCCAACGTGAACCAAACAAGATATGCTATGGTGCCATGTGTGAATGCACATACATTTTAAATTTCATCAGTTTGAATAAAAAAAAATTATACTGATATCCCTGTTTGGTTAAAAAATATTTCCACTATATCAATGCCTATGAAACTGATGCATCATTGGAATGCAAATATGTTAAAAGAGAAATGACAAAGGACCCATTATGACAGTTGGCTTATAATATTTACAGTTTATGCATAAATTTAATTAACAAGAATATTGTACACGCCTTCCCAAACTGTCAGGCTGGAAAATGCAAGTACTAAATGTAAAACATTCAAAATTCAGCTAAACTAGTTTTAAATCCCCAAAACGGTACCAATAATGAAAGACTAATGGCAATATTAAAAATGTCTGAATTTTAATTCACAATTATAAGATGTTACTTAAACTGCTGTAGCTATATTAACAGCCATCACATGTTAAATTCAAGGCTGTTGAGAAAAATATGCAGCTGTAAGTATTAAGTTATGCACCATGAAATCTTATAAATTATAAGTTTATATGCAACCAGGGAAATTAGGAAAGCAACTGCTTGCAGAAATTTATAGCACTAAATCAAAATTTTCAAAAAAACCTTCAGATACTGATTACCAGTCGTCGTCATCATCAAGAGCAGCCCGCCTACGGTCAAACTGTAAATAAATTATATCTATTATTATTATTATAATCACAAAGAATAAATAAATTATAAAAATTAAACTTCATTACCTAAACTCCTAAAATAAATATTTCACATTAAATCAGAAATAAAAATCCCTTGATGGCAGTTTTTCTTTGGGATATGTTGGGGAAAGGAAGAGGAACAGAAAAGAGGATATTAAGAGTGTTTGATGATTTTCAAATCACTAGCTGGGACTTTCCTCATCACAGTCACTGCAACCTGTGAAGACTACCCTATGGTCTACTGTAAATTTGCTCTGCATGGAGACTTAAATGTACAATACTTGTTTCTCCTTGTCTGGAAGTTGAGCCTGCCCTTGAAGCTACAGCTCTTTGGTGGGTGTACATAAGCAAAATGGGAGGTTTAACATTAGCACAGCGTGAATTAATCGGCTAATCGTACATTATCTCTGCAGGCTGGTGGTGAATTCCTTGCTGGCCTATTCAAGTATTTGCTGCCTAATCAGTTATGATCTGCTTTGTGGATTGTGATCCCCTTCAAATTGAGTTTGAGTAGCATTGATTAAGGTGGTGTTTAGCTTGCTGGCAGTTTGCAGAGCAAAATGGTAGTTGGGTAGGGTCAAACAAGCACTGAAGAGTATGCGCCCTTTTAGTCTTTGGCAGTTCCTCAGTGCTTTGTTGATTACTTACATATATTTTTCCACTATCTGTGAGGTCAATAGTATTAGTGGAACCTTTGCTTGTCAAAAAGGGTAGGGAGATAGAGATGAAGTTCTTATATCCTTGTTCATTATCGGTCGGATTCATCCTGCAACTCATCAGGCGAGGTACAAAACCTGCGAGTCTTCTCATTCTTAAAATTCCAACAACTGTCTCTATAAAACCTTTTGTGACAGGTCAGTCCAGTTTGTCTACCAATCTGCCCTCCTCTTACATGTTTGGGTAATTTAAATTTGCACTAAGTCCATTCACTGAACTCCATTTCAATTTCATTCTATTTTGCAATGTCATGGATAAAAATTTTTTGGGCTTCAGCCAAGAAGAGCCAGTGCAGTGTTCAATTACTTCATTTTGCACTTGCTGTAAGTTGGCCATGGGATTACTTTCCCCACACAGCATGACCAAATTTGAATTGTGTGTCATGCAAGTTGATAATCTCTCTAAACTGCCAAACATGTTAAGGTATTCTCTACACTCCAAGAGATGGCTAGCACACCTATCACTTGCAAGCTCAACGTCCAAAAAAATTTGAAAAGTAGGAGAGTAGTCTGTCCTCTTAGTTTTCATCATACAAACCTTTGAAAAGTGTGAAGGAAATATCTGCGGCCAGCTTGAGCTACAAGGCCTTTTCCCCTCCTCTTGGTGGCATGACCACAATCCAAAATAGCATTAAACTGCTACTCATTTCCATCGAGTCTATCTGGCAGGTAGCTGGTTAACAGTGAGGAAGTCGCTACCCACTTAGCAGCAAAGAATTTATTCCTGGCAGTTGGGCCACTCAGCAACTTACTGCAAGTTGGCCATCTCCCACCAAAACACGGTGACCAAAAAGAAAACAAATCCCCAAAAAGAAAAAAATTTCATCATTATTCAACACTTTCACCTCACTCATACATAATCACTGTTTTTGCAGAGGTGCTCAGAATACAACAGTTTAGAAGCATATACAGTGGAACCTCAAATATCGAACTTTCTTCGGTCCAGAAGGCTGTTCGAGTGCCTTTACCGAATGAATTTATTCCCATCAGGAATAATGTAAATTAGATTAGTCCATTTCAGACCCTCAAAAATACTTATAAAAGCACTTACAAAAATTATTTTTTTTTATTATCACACCGGCCGATTCCCACCAAGGCAGGGTGGCCCGAAAAAGAAAAACTTTCACCATCATTCACTCCATCACTGTCTTGCCAGAAGGGTGCTTTACACTACAGTTTTTAAACTGCAACATTAACACCCCTCCTTCAGAGTGCAGGCACTGTACTTCCCATCTCCAGGACTCAAGTCCGGCCTGCCGGTTTCCCTGAATCCCTTCATAAATGTTACTTTGCTCACACTCCAACAGCACGTCAAGTATTAAAAACCATTTGTCTCCAATCACTCCTATCAAACACGCTCACGCATGCCTGCTGGAAGTCCAAGCCCCTCGCACACAAAACCTCCTTTACCCCCTCCCTCCAACCCTTCCTAGGCCGACCCCTACCCCGCCTTCCTTCCACTACAGACTGATACACTCTTGAAGTCATTCTGTTTCGCTCCATTCTCTCTACATGTCCGAACCACCTCAACAACCCTTCCTCAGCCCTCTGGACAACAGTTTTGGTAATCCCGCACCTCCTCCTAACTTCCAAACTACGAATTCTCTGCATTATATTCACACCACACATTGCCCTCAGACATGACATCTCCACTGCCTCCAGCCTTCTCCTCGCTGCAACATTCATCACCCACGCTTCACACCCATATAAGAGCGTTGGTAAAACTATACTCTCATACATTCCCCTCTTTGCCTCCAAGGACAAAGTTCTTTGTCTCCACAGACTCCTAAGTGCACCACTCACTCTTTTTCCCTCATCAATTCTATGATTCACCTCATCTTTCATAGACCCATCCGCTGACACGTCCACTCCCAAATATCTGAATACGTTCACCTCCTCCATACTCTCTCCCTCCAATCTGATATTCAATCTTTCATCACCTAATCTTTTTGTTATCCTCATAACCTTACTCTTTCCTGTATTCACCTTTAATTTTTCTTCTTTTGCACACCCTACCAAATTCATCCACCAATCTCTGCAACTTCTCTTCAGAATCTCCCAAGAGCACAGTGTCATCAGCAAAGAGCAGCTGTGACAACTCCCACTTTGTGTGTGATTCTTTATCTTTTAACTCCACGCCTCTTGCCAAGACCCTCGCATTTACTTCTCTTACAACCCCATCTATAAATATATTAAACAACCACGGTGACATCACACATCCTTGTCTAAGGCCTACTTTTACTGGGAAAAAATTTCCCTCTTTCCTACATACTCTAACTTGAGCCTCACTATCCTCGTAAAAACTCTTCACTGCTTTCAGTAACCTACCTCCTACACCATACACTTGCAACATCTGCCACATTGCCCCCCTATCCACCCTGTCATACGCCTTTTCCAAATCCATAAATGCCACAAAGACCTCTTTAGCCTTATCTAAATACTGTTCACTTATATGTTTCACTGTAAACACCTGGTCCACACACCCCCTACCTTTCCTGAAGCCTCCTTGTTCATCTGCTATCCTATTCTCCGTCTTACTCTTAATTCTTTCAATTATAACTCTACCATACACTTTACCAGGTACACTCAACAGACTTATCCCCCTATAATTTTTGCACTCTCTTTTATCCCCTTTGCCTTTATACAAAGGAACTATGCATGCTCTCTGCAATCCCTAGGTACCTTACCCTCTTCCATACATTTATTAAATAATTGCACCAACCACTCCAAAACTATATCCCCACCTGCTTTTAACATTTCTATCTTTATCCCATCAATCCCGGCTGCCTTACCCCCTTTCATTTTACCTACTGCCTCACGAACTTCCCCACACTCACAACTGGCTCTTCCTCACTCCTACAAGATGTTATTCCTCCTTGCCCTATACACGAAATCACAGCTTCCCTATCTTCATCAACATTTAACAATTCCTCAAAATATTCCTTCCATCTTCCCAATACCTCTAACTCTCCATTTAATAACTCTCCTCTCCTATTTTTAACTGACAAATCCATTTGTTCTCTAGGGTTTCTTAACTTGTTAATCTCACTCCAAAACTTTTTCTTATTTTCAACAAAATTTGTTGATAACATCTCACCCACTCTCTCATTTGCTCTCTTTTTACATTGCTTCACCACTCTCTTAACTTCTCTCTTTTTCTCCATATACTCTTCCCTCCTTGCATCACTTCTACTTTGTAAAAACTTCTCATATGCTAACTTTTCTCCCTTACTACTCTCTTTACATCATCATTCCACCAATCGCTCCTCTTCCCTCCTGCACCCACTTTCCTGTAACCACAAACTTCTGCTGAACACTCTAACACTACATTTTTAAACCTACCCCATACCTCTTCGACCCCATTGCCTATGCTCTCATTAGCCCATCTATCCTCCAATAGCTGTTTATATCTTACCCTAACTGCCTCCTCTTTTAGTTTATAAACCTTCACCTCTCTCTTCCCTGATGCTTCTATTCTCCTTGTATCCCATCTACCTTTTACTCTCAGTGTAGCTACAACTAGAAAGTGATCTGATATATCTGTGGCCCCTCTATAAACATGTACATCCTGAAGTCTACTCAACAGTCTTTTATCTACCAATACATAATCCAACAAACTACTGTCATTTCGCCCTACATCATATCGTGTATACTTATTTATCCTCTTTTTTCTTAAAATATGTATTACCTATAACTAAACCCCTTTCTATACAAAGTTCAATCAAAGGGCTCCCATTTTCATTTACACCTGGCACCCCAAACTTACCTACCACACCCTCTCTAAAAGTTTCTCCTACTTTAGCATTCAAGTCCCCTACCACAATTACTCTCTCACTTGGTTCAAAGGCTCCTATACATTCACTTAACATCTCCCAAAATCTCTCTCTCTCCTCTGCATTCCTCTCTTCTCCAGGTGCATACACGCTTATTATGACCCACTTCTCGCATCCAACCTTTACTTTAATCCACATAATTCTTGAATTTACACATTCATATTCTCTTTTTCTCCTTCCATAACTGATCATTTAACATTACTGCTACCCCTTCCTTTGCTCTTAACTCTCTCAGATACTCCAGATTTAATCCCATTTATTTCCCCCCACTGAAACTCTCCTACCCCCTTCAGCTTTGTTTCGCTTAGGCCAGGACATCCAACTTTTTTTTCATTCATAACATCAGCAATCATCTGTTTCTTGTCATCCGCACTACATCCACGCACATTTAAGCAACCCAGTTTTATAAAGTTTTTCTTC